TGCAAGAGTAGCTACATAATTGGTACTTGATATCACTGTGTAATTTATATACAATTGCTCTTGACTGAAACCCTGAGGAAACCAGGGTGAGCTCCAGAGGGGCATTTCTGGACTCCCAGCTTCCCCAGCCTGGAAAGGCATCCCGTTTTGTTCACCACCAGCAGCTGGCACAGCACCTGCACCCTGGTGCTGCTCAGTAAATGCTGCGTGGATAGTTGAGTGGATGATATCAATAAGCTGAGCACGGAAACTGCAAAACTGAGCAAAATCACATGACATCCTCCCCACAGTCTAGGGGGAACCATATTAACTAAATGCAAAGTTGCAGTTATAAGAATGCTCAGAAAAAGAGGAAAATGGTGCTGTTGGTGCCAGAGAAGCCCTCCCTGAAGCCACGCGGCTTAAAATAAGATCTGAAGAATGAGTCAGGATTGACTAGGAAGATAGGGAAGCAAGAACATCCCAGATAGATGAAATAGTATGGGTGGCTCATTGGTTGGAACGTTGTCCCATGCACTAAGAGGCTGTGGGATTGGCCCAGTAAGGGCATATATCTAGGTTGCAGTTTGATCACTAGTTGGGACGCGTACGGGAGACATCTGGTTGATACTGCTCTCACATAGATATTTCTTTCTCTCTCCCTCCCTCTCCCTTCCTCTCTTCTAAAATCAATGAACATATCCTCAGGTGAGGGTTTAAAAAATAGTATGTGCAAAGATCCTGTGGCAGAAGGGTACACGACAAGGAACTGAGCAAAGGTCATGCTGCTAGGGTGGTGTGTGAAGAAGCAATGAATAATAGAGAGGGCTGGAAAGGCCACAGGACCATGCTGTGCAAGAGCTCACCAGCCTTGTGAGGAGCTCTGTCTTCATCCTAAGAGCTAAGGGAAAGGCTTTGAAGGGTTTTACTCAGATTAAAATTAAAATAGAAAAGATCGCTGTGGCAGCAATGGGGGGGAATGAATTGGAGTGCGTTAGAATGGATCCAAGTAGAGCACTGAGGAAGCTGCTGTAGTCTGAGAGGAAGCTGATATGAATTTGGGGTAGGCGGCAGAGAGCCGGTAGAGAATCGAGGCCGTAGATGGGTTTGAGAGAGATTTAGGAGGCGTACTGATCGGCACTGGTGATGCATTGCACATGGCGGATGAGGGTGTGAGAGTTATCAAGAGTGACTCCTAGGTACTGGTTTGACCCATGGAGGGCTCCGGTGGTCTTTCCTGAGAGAGAATGCTGCGGGATGACCACGTCTGCAAGTGGAATATCATGAGTTTGTCTTTGGGAATTAGGAGTTTCTTTTAAAATTACTTTTCCTGACTTCCTTTACCCTGTTTTTGTTATCTCCCCCCCTGTTTTTCTTGGTCGCTGTCTTTGCCAACTTCCCAAAGACATCTCTGTGCTCTTCCACTTCCACTTAATTTAAATGATGGTGTTTTCTGTGGATCTGAGCTGAGCTTCTGGACTCTTTAGTGACTCCAAAACTTGCCCCAGCCAATGCAATGGCCGTATATGGCTACTGAGCACTTGAAATGTGCCTTGTGCAAATTGAGATGCACCCTAAATGTTAAATACACGTAGGGTTTCAAAGATATAGAATTAAAAACAATAAAAATGAAATCACTGGTAAGATTCCTAATTGGTTATCTGTTGAAAGGGTAATATTTTGGATATATTGGAGTAGTATTATTACTCCAATATATAGAATTATATATTGGAGTAATGTGTTATTACTTTCTTAGTGTGGCTACTAGAATATTTAAAATTACATTGATGGCTCACTGTGTATTTTTAGTGGATGAAACTGCTCCAAACAGTGACCTACTGCCTGCCCATTCCTGCCCATCTGAGCTCACAGAACTGCTTACTGTATCCAGAACACTTCAAATCACTTTATGTCTCATATGCTTTCCTTTTCCTGAACTTTTGTTCCTTTCCTTTCCTACCAGATTAGATGTGATTCCTACTTCTTTGTTCAGAGGAAAGATCTTCTCTGCTACATGAAAATGTCCCAATTCCTTAAGGTAGAATTAAACATTTCTGCCTCGGAGCTTTACATGCTCTGTTAATGTCTTTATTATACCTAATTTACATGCTGGTATTTTGTTTTGCGTTCATTCGTCTGTCCAGCCAGATTGTAAGTGTCTGAGAAGTGCAGGTGCAATCTGATTTATGTCTGTAATTATGTAACCAGGTACTGGGTGTCAGGTTGGTGCCCAAGGAAAGCCTGATGAATAACAACTGAATCGGCACACATTAAACAGCTACCACATGACTGGTTATGACTTAGATGTTCTATGACAATATCTTGAATCCTCTCAGCAACCCTGTAAGGTAGATATAATTATCTTCATTATGCATATGAGGATCTTGCAAAAGCTCAAAGTGTTAGTAAATTATAGAGCGAAGATTCGACTATAATGAATGACTCCAGAGCTATGTTTTTTCCCTGTGATTTCATACATGCTGAAAAACAGATTTAAAAAATGGAGATTATATTCCTACATCATAACAGAAAAAATACCTATTTCCTAAGATTGTCAAAACATTAAATGAGATACTGTATATAAAATGCCAGGGCAGTGCTTGGAAATAGTTGGTTTAAGTAAACAGTGGCTTTCTTCCACCTTGAGGCCCACAGCAGAGAGGTCCTGAATTTCTGAGGAGGACTGAAGTGGTCTAACTGCCGCGACAGCCCTGCACACACTCGCACACACCCACACTGGTACGGAGGTCGTGAGAAACAGAGCCCTCTGGGGCCCCCGCTTCAACCCAGCCCCCTTTGCACATCCTCTGATGGCTGGAGAGTGAAGTAGAGAAACAAATAATACCACGGCAATGTGTGTGTGTGTGCGTGTGTGTGTTGGTGAGGGCTGGGGAAGAATAATAGCAGAAAGGGAATCAAGTCTGCAGTCTTCCTAGGACTATGTGGCCTCTGCGAATTCCTAGACAATCATTCTGAGTAGCATGCCAACTCTCCTCTTCCTGTTCTGTCTCACCCAACTGTAGCGCTGTACAACTGGGATCACTTTTCTAGCACCTCAGGAATCTTCGTAGGAAAGGGGAAGTAGGAAAAGGCAAATATTAAGTGTAGGCCAACACCGGTCTGCACGTCCTTTGTTGAGATGCTAGGCTCCTGAGAAATTAATTTAAGCATGTGAAATCCCTCTGTAAGCTTCAGATCCCTGTAATTTCACCAACACTTAAGAAATATTAAGAAATCTCTCGGTTGCTGCTGGTACTTGACTGAGGCTAAATGACTTGGTAAATGATCAAGGAATTCATTTACTGAATAATGAAAATGGTCACCCACATGCAATATAGTTGACAAGGAGATCCCAGCTTGAGTGGACAGCAAAGAAGTTGTAAGGAAATGGTTCTTCGAAGTAAAAAGCTGGGAAACTGAATATTCTCTAGCACTTAAATCAAACTTTGAGATTAAGAGAACAGCTTGCCTTGGCTGGTGTGTCTCAGTTGGTTGGAGTATTGTTCTATAACTAACAAGTTGCAGAGTTGATTCTGGGTCAGGGCACATGCCTGGGTTGCAGGTTTCATCCCCAGTCTGATGCTGCTCTCTTGCATCAATGTTTCTTTCTCTCCCTGTCTTCCTTCCACTTTCTCTAAAGGCAATGAAAAAAATGTACTCAGGTAAGGATAAAAAAAAGAAGAAAAAAGAAAACAATTTTAAGTTTAGGGAGAACTTTTAATCTGATATTATATATAGGGAAATTCCATGGCCAAGAGCATGTAAAAATTAACAGTGATGACCTGACTGCTACAGAAAATTTAATCTATATAGAGAAATAAGTACAAAATTGAATTTTAAAGGGAAGAAATGAAGTTCATTTATCTTCCAGACTGACTTGTACTCAAAAGGTTGAAGAAAAGGTACTTTCAAATTCAATCCACTTAAATGCCAAAGCATCGCACTTTCCAATCAACTGATTTTAAGATAATCTCTCTGGGACTAACACCTGTGAAATGCATGAGCTTGATGCTCTCATTCAGTTCTATGATGGCCTGACTTCTACTAGATAAAATGCTGCTACATAGTAGACAGCATTACTGAAAATTAACAGACGCCTTGACTACTAGTGACTTAATCATAAGCACTCTTTTTGTTGAAGAATGCTTCAAAGAGAATGTTTGAAAGTAGATAGTCCAGGATGGACTCACTAGCTTAATGATGTTCTCCAGGCTCTTTTAAAGTTTTTTTTTTGCATCATCCTCTTCAAAGGTTGGCATTCATATGAGAGGTTCTTGCCTCATGACTATAAAATAGCTATTGCAGCTTCAAGTAGGAAACAAGAGCCAGAGGTAAAAGGTTCCGTTTTGCATTAAATAAGATGCCCACTTTAATCAGAACTCAGCCAAGGACAAACCTAGAATAAGCAGTGGCAAAGGGAAAGGAGACTCTAGACTTGCATTAGACCAATTATCATTCATTCTATACCTCTTAGGGCAAGGAATAGCTGCCCGTGACCTGAACAGGTCAGAGTTTTAACAGCAAGGAAGGACAGAGGGTAGAACATCATCACTAGGTAGAAAATAAAATGTGTCCGCCAGAAATACTTAAGGTAGATTTGCTGAATGAACAAGTGAGGGATGTCCTGTAACTTTCGTGGATCCTAAAAACTTTGTCTTTGTGGGTCCCTTCATCTGAAAACTATGTTAAAAATAGTGTTTTACAACTGAGTTGACATAAAGACAAAATCCGGACTGAATTCATCATTATGCATTAATTCTTATTGTCATTAACTTTAATTCTGATGTTTAAAAATGCAAATTGAAACACTTTTGTCAGCCCCAAGCACCGCGCCTATAATGCCTAGTGCGGAATTCCACACTGGGTCTATGCCGTTTCCTGCTGGTGTGTAAACTCAAGGGCCGTGACTATGTACTAGGTTTCTTTGTTGCCTTCAAGCCCCTCTCACATCACTGTGAATCTCAGGGGTGCTCCTCAAATGATGCTGAGTCGAGCTAACATATCACCGTTTCTTCCCCTAGGGTGAGCCAGGTCCTCCGGGTCCTTATGGTCCTCCAGGAGTCCCGGGTATGGGACAGCAAGGTATCAAGGTAAAGATACTTGTCTCTTTGCCCAATGATGATTTGAATTTATTGTGGGGGCTGGGGGAGCTGTGACTTCAACTCTGCTCAGCCTTACCCTCAAAGACACAGAGAGGCTGCTTGCAGAAGTTACGTATAGTCTGGATGCTTGGACAATTCATGTCCTGGTCCGGGGAAGTTACCATAAGTATAACCAATGTATTTTGTTAGTTGATTGGAGTAAAAATTTTTCTTGTCTCCAAATACCCACCCTTCTCCCAATGTACATCTGGGTCTGTTGAGTTTTCATGGACTTGAAAGGTTAAATATGCAAAATGTTATTGATTCGTGAAACACTTTAATACATCAACTATCACCTGTGCACATTAAAGAAGCCCACAGGGACAGAAACCAGAAGAACCACGACACTGGGAAGTAAATATTGACAGAAAGGTCCGTAGGAGCTAGAAGAAACTGGAACACCAGCATCCTAGGTCCCCTGCACATGAAGGATGTAATAGAGCAAAGCAGTTATTTTAAAGGAATTTTGTAAGCCATCAGGACAAAAAGACATTGATGCAAGTCTAATGCAGAAAACAGTCCAAAACAGTGCACTTTGGATGTCATCAAGTGTCACCACGGATGCCAGTTACACAAGAACACGCTGAGACTTCAGGGAAGGTGGAGTTTATATTGGCAGAACTATTGGGGAAGGGTTCTGAGGTGATCAGGTGTGAAACAGAATTGAAAGGAGAGGTGACAGGGGGTGACAGAGGTGAGTGGGGGTGGGGAACAGGCAGCATTCCAGGACGGTGGTGATGGGCCAGGAGCAGCATGAGCTTTGTCAGGGTGGTCATCTCAGTGAGCAAAATGAGTAACTCACAGTCCATCCTGCCAAGTACTGCACAGTGGTTTCCAAAAGCTGAACATTCTGATTGCATTTAGACCAGAAGGGATGCTGAACATTTTAGGGTGATTTCTTCACTGAAATTTCAAGCCACTTTTCCTCCAGAATTTTTTTTATCTTCATGACTGAGAAAAGTGTGGACTTCCAGCTAAGATGGAGGCATAGGTAGACACACTATGCCTCCTTCCACAACCAAAATTAAGGACAACAAAAATTTAGAAACAAAATAACAACTAGAACTGACAGAAAATTGAACTGTATGAAAGTCTGACAAACATTCATCCAGATGGGTAAGAGGGGCGGAGTCAGCAGCTGGCAGCAGAAAGGGTTCGCTGCAGGAAAAAGTGGTGGCCGGCCACCCAGGTGCACAGGTGGTGGCTGGCAGATCTTGGTCACACATTCACATGCAGATAAATCAGGCCAAAAATGGGCAGCAAGACAGACCACGCAACCCAGGGAGGGCCCCAGTGCCAGGAAATAAAGCCTAAAAGCACCGATTGAAAACACTTGTGGGGATTGAGGTGCCGGAAGAAACTCCCAGCCTCACAGGAGAGTTTGTTGGAGAGACCCACAGGGTCCTAGTATGTACACAAGCCCACACACCTGGGAACCAAAACCAGAAGGGCCCACTTTGCTTGTGGGAAGCAGCAGAGGGGACTGAAATTCAACTTAGAGTGGAGCAAGCACCACTGTTCCCTCTCTGACCCCGCTCCTACATACAGTGTCACAACCCAGTGACTGGATTTCCCTGTCCTGGTGAACACCTAAGGCTCTGCCCCTCACTATGTAACAGGCATGACCAGACCAAAAAAAATGGCTCAAATGGAAGAACAGATTAAATCCCCAAAGCCAATACTTTTAAGCAACCAAGAGATAGCCAACCTATCAGATGCACAGTTCAAAACCCTGGTGATCAAGATGCTCACAGAACTGGTTGATTTTGATTGCAAATAAGATGAAAAAATGAAGGCTATACCAAGTGAAATGAAGAAAAATGCACAGGGAACCAATAGCGATGGGAAGAAAACTGGGACCCAAATTAATAGAGTAGAACAGAAGGAAAAAAGAATCAACCAAACAGAAAAGAATGAAGAAACAAAAATTTTAAAAAATGAGGAGAGACTTAGGAACCTCCAGGACATCTTAAACATTCCAACATTCAAATTATAGGGGTACCAGAAGGAGAGGGGGAAGAGCAACAAGTGGAAAACTTATTTAAACAAATAATAAAGAAGAACTTTCCCAATCTGGCAAAGGAAATAGACTTCCAGGAAGTCCAGGAAGCTCAGAGAGTCCCAAAGAAGTTGGACCCAAGAAGGAACACACCAAGGCACATCATCATTATATTAGCCAAGATTAAAATGAAGGAGAGAATCCTAGAAGCAGCAAGAGATAAGGGGACAGTCACCTACAAAGGAATTCCCATCAGACTGTCAGCTGATTTCTCAAAAGACATCTTACAGGCAAGAAGGGGCTGGAAAGAGGTATTCTAAGTCATGAAAGGCAAGGACCTACATTCAAGATTGCTCTATGGAGCAAAGCTTTCATTTAGAATGGAAGGACAGATAAAGTGCTTCTCAGAAAAGGACAAGTTCAAGGAGTTCATCATAACCAAGCCCTTATTATATGAAATGTTAAAGGGACTTATCTAAGAAAAAGAAGATAAAAAAGATGAACAGTAAAAAACCCCAGCAAACTCACAATTATTAACAACCACACTTAAAACAAAAGCAAACTAAGCAAACAACTAGAATAGGAACAGAACCACAGAAATGGAGATCACATGGAGAGTTAGCAACAGGGGAGTGGGAGGAGAAGAAGGGGGAAAGGTACAGAGAATAAGTAGCATAGATGGTAGGTAGAAAGTAGACAGGGGGGAGGACAAGAATAGTATGGGAAATGTAGAAGCTAAAGAACTTATGACACATGGACATGAACCAAAGGGGGGAATGTGAATGGGAAGGGGTGTGCAGGGTGGAGGGAAATGAAGGGGGGAAATGGGACAACTGTAACAGTATAATCAATAAAATATATTTTAAAAAGAAAAGTTTGGTGGGGAGCACGGGGCGAGGGGGCTGGGATGGGAGAAATAGACAAAAAACTGTACTTGAAAAATAACTAAATAAAAAAAAGAAAAGTTTGCTTGTTTTGCTATTTGTTGTTATTGAAATCTTTAGAGTATTTTGTGCTATATTTCTTCTTTGTTTAAAAGCTCAAACTTTTATTTGATTATTTCTTTCTCTTAGGGAGAGAGAGGCCAGGAAGGAAGAACTGGGGCTCCAGGACCCATTGGCATTGGTGAGCCAGGCCAGCCAGTAAGTAGCTAGCAATTCTAGATGGAACAAGAATGACAAATATAGTACTTATGTGCTCCTTCTGGTTAGAACAAATGGTTCAATGAATTCATCGTGTATCTTTTTGGACAACAAAAGACAGTAAATATGCAAGAACTGATGCAAGTCTCATTTTTCATGATAGTTGAAATAGGGACACAGATACACAGATGGTTGTACAATTGGCTCTTTCTTACTGTAATCTCTCACAAGACTAATCAGCTTGTTCGAGAAAGTTCTTATGTGTCAAAATTTCCTGGGAGATATGAGATCTGGGTTCTGGTCTAATGTCTGTACTTTGTAATTTACTTTCCTGCAACCATGAGAAATTCATGACAATGAGGACTTCACTCATCACCTAATCCGTGAGTGTGCTCTGAAGCTAGTGTCAATGATGGTAGAGAGACCATACCTCTGTTATGTGCAGAGGTATAAAAAATATTTCTATCTAGAGAGATCTGAAGAGGAAATGAATCAAACATGACTATTCTAGCATAAAAAGCTTCTTCACTTTTCAAGTAATCATTCTCCTAGCAAAGAACAGTAGCCGACTCCCTGGGGTACAAATGAAAACATAGCCGGGCTCCCGATTTTGTTCTGCATCCCATAGGTCCTCCTGTGTCGCTGGAGCAGAAACACGTGCCTCCTGGCCGTACCCTGTGAGAGCCATGGGAGCACGCTGCTCAAGGTTCCAACTTTCCACTAATGCCTGCAGGCACTAATTCAAAGCCAAACACATCTTATGGATGGAAGATACACTAGACTAATTATCTAGCGGTCAGTGGTCAAATTTCAGTTTCCACTAACTAGACAGTGGCCCTAAAGGGAAACTGCTGAGAGGGTAGAAATCAGCTTTCTTGCAGACATTGCTGGTAGTTCACTGGACAGGCTGGAAACTGAGAAGACTGGAGGGACATCAGCTAGAAAGAAAGACACAGGCACATACAGATCGCCATGTGCACAGAGAGTACGGCGGAGGATCTGGGGATTTTTTAACAGAAATGAAGAAGAATCTTTTCATAATGCCCTGAGGAAGTGAGATTAACAATGAAGTAAATAAATAATTTTTTTAATGAGCTGCTAAAAATACAGAGAAGAATTAGTAAACTTCCACCAGATAGACACATCTTAATATTTTGCTATGCTGACTTTAGATTTTCTTGAAAAACCATAAAATATGGATACAGTCAAGTTTACATAATCTCTTCCAGAAAATAGAAAAGGAAAGACAGCAAAACACTGTTTCCTGTTGTTATATAGCAAAACAATGACAATACATAAAAAGAAAACCATAGAACAATATCCTTCATGAATCTAGATACAAACATCCTTAACAAAATATTGGTGAGTAAAATTCAGCAATACATAAAAACAATTATACAGCATGACCAAATTGGGTTCATTCCTGGATGCAAGGCTGACTTAATAATAAAAAATTATATAATACATCGTATTAATTGGCTAAAAATTGCATATAAGATGAAACAAAAGCATTCACGAAACTTAAAATTCAAAACCCTCACAAACTCTGATAAAAACTATCAGAAACTAGAAATAGAAGAAAACGTCAACTTCTACGAAAACAAAGAATAAAATAAACAAAAAAACTACAGTTAACGTTACACTCCATGATTAAATGGTAAAATCAAAAACAAGACAAAGATTTCTGTTTTCACCAATCTTATTCAGTGTAGTATTAGATGTCCTAGCCAGAACAATAAGGCAAGAAGAGGAAATAAAAGGCATATGCATCAAAAAGAACTAAAGCTGTTCCTATTTGCAGATGACATAATGGTATTCATAGAAAATCCCTGGATATCTATACCAAACCTCCTAGAACTAATAGATGAGTTTAAGTTCACAGGATGCAAGTGGAACATGCAAAATCAATTTTATTTCTATATTCTAGTAACAAATACAGAAGCTTCCATCTTTAATTACATTATTACCATTCATTTTGTGCTTGTCACAGATGACTGACTCATAAAAAATAAATTGATTTTAGACTCTCAGGGCGATTTGTTTATTTTTTTGTGCAAGGTTATTCAGAGCACTATCAGTATAAAATACTCTCTGAAGTAGAACTTGTAATTATTTTGAGGTTTAAAATAAAGTAGATGGCATGTGTGAATATTACAGACAATTTTTATTATTACTTAATATATTTATCTTGTTTGCAGTGTATATTAAAAACTTTATTGATTATCCACACTATTTAGGTTATTAAGGAAAGTAATAACATAATGGATAATTACATTTTATTGTGCTAATGTCTGAAATAAAGCATTTCACGGACCAGACTGTGTTAACCAATAATTAGTTTCCTTCATTATATTTTTTTTATTAGAGCTGTTCACTAGACACCAAATAAGTATGTCATAGTTGTAATTGATTCTCATGAACTTTGAAAAAGATAGTTTTTTATAGAAGCATTTCTTTTTAAAAAATATATTTTATTGATTATGCCATTACAGTTGTCCCATTTCCCCCCTTCACTCCCCTCCACCCCGCACACCCCTCCCCCAGCATTCCTCCCTTTAGTTTATGTCCATGTGTAATAAGTTCTTTAGATTCTATATTTCCCATACTATTCTTGCCCTCCCCCTGTTTATTTTCTACCTACCATGTACACTACTTATTCTCTGTACTTTCTTCCCCCTTCTCCTCCTCCCATTCCCCTGTTGCTAACCCTCCATGTGATCTCCATTTCTGTGGTTCTGCTCCTGATCTAGCTGTCCTCTTAGTTTGCTTTTGTTTTAGGTGTGGTTGTTAATAACTGTGAGTTTGCTGTCCTTTCACTGTTCAACTTTTTTATCTTCTTTTTCTTAGGTAAGTCCCTTTAACATTTCATATAATAAGGGCTTGGTGATGATGAACTCCTTGAACTTGTCCTTATCTGAGAAGCACTTTATCTGCCCTTCCATTCTAAATGAAAGCTTTGCTCGATAGAGCAATCTTGAATGTAGGTCTTTGGATTTCATGACTTGGAATACTTCTTTCTGGCCCCCTCTTGCCTATAAGGTCTCTTTTGAGAAATCAGCTGACAGTCTGATGGGAACTCCTTTGTAGGTGACTGTCCCCTTATCTCTTGCTGCTTCTAGGATTCTCTCCTTCATTTTAATCTTGGCTAATGTAGTGATGATGTGCCTTGGTGTGTTCCTTCTTGGGTCCAACTTCTTTGGGTCTCTCTGAGCTTCCTGGATTTCCTGGAAGTCTATTTCCTTTGCCAGATTGGGGAAGTTCTCCTTTATTATTTGTTAAAAAAAAGTTTTCCACTGTTGCTCTTCCTCTTCCCCTTGTGGCACCCCTATAATTCGGATGTTGGAATGTTTAAAGATGTCCTGGAGGTTCCTAAGCCTCTCCTCATTTTTTAGAATTTCTGTTTTTTCATTCTTTTCCTGTTTGGTCATTTTTTCTTCCTTCTGGTCCACTTCATTGATTTGAGTCCCAGTTTCCTTCCCATCACTATTGGTTTCCTGTGTATTTCCCTTCATTTCACTTAGTTTAGCCTTCATTTGTTCCTCTAATTTGTGACATAAATCAACTAGTTCTGTGAGCATCCTGATCACCAGGGTTTTGAACTTTGCATCTGATAGGTTGGCTGTGTCTTGGTCACTTAGAAGTATTGGCTCTGGGGCTTTGATGTTCTTCTTGAGTCATAATGTTTTGCTCTGTTCATGCCTGTTAAGTATGAGGAGCGGAGCCTTAGATGTTCACCAGGGCAGGGCCACCCAGTTGCTGGGTTGTGACGCTGTATGTGGGGGCGGGGTCAGAGAGGGGCAATGGCATTTGTTCCACTCTCTCTCATATTTCTGTCCCCTCTGCTGCTTCCTGCAAGCAAACCTGGCCCCCCTGGTGCTGGCTCCCAGGTGTGTGGGCCTGTGCACCCTCCAGGACCCTGTGGGTCTCTCCAACAAACTCTCTTTGTGAGCCTAGGAGCTTCGCCCGGCACCTAGACCTGGAAAGTTTTTTCCAATTGGTACTTTTAGGCTTTAATTCTTGTCACTGGGGCCCTAGCCTGCTCGGTCTGTCTCACTGCTCGCTCCTTCGCCTGGTTTAGCTGCGTGCAAATGTGTGACCGGGTTCAGCCAGCCGCCTTGCGTCCCAACTGGGCCTGCCCATTGCCAACTCATGCCTGGGATCTGCCGACTGCTGCCTGCGTGCCTGGGTTAGTCTGGCTGCTTTTTCCTGCTAGATCGGGCTCTGCCAGCCTCTGACTCTGCCCCTGTTACTGGTCTGGATGAACAGTTCATTGTTGTCAGACTTCCATACAATTTGATTTTCTGTGTTTTGGTTGCATTTTTGTTACTAAAACTTTGTTGTCTTTAAACTTGGTTGTGCAAGGAGGCACAATGTTTCCAACTATGCCTCCATCTTGGCCGGAAGTCTGTTATAGAAGCATTTCTATCTTTAAAAAGTGATCTGTTGGTACTGTCTTCATAAATTAAAAATATACTGGGTTGGCCAAAAAGTTCATTTGTTTTTTTTTCCATAACATGGCTCTAGTAGCACCAGGTTGTCTTTAATTTTATTTGAAACAATTTGTCAGTTTGCATTGTGACAGCTGTCATATCAGCATGCATTTAAAAAAATCAAAATTGGTGATTTTTGGTGTAGCCATTGTAATATTGAAGATGGAATAAAATAAGCAATATTTTCAATGTATTATGTTTTATTATTTCAGAAAAGGTAAAAATACCACTGAAATGCAAAAAAAAAAAAAAAGATTTGTGCAGTGAACAGAGAAGTGCTGTGGCTGATTGAATGTAGCAAAGTGGTTTGTGAAGTTTTATGCTGGAGATTTCTCGCTGGACGATGCTCTCCAGTCAGGTAGACCAGCTGAAGTTGGTGATCAAATCAAAACACTGAATTGAGAACAATCAATGTCATAGGGAAATAGCTGACAGACTAAAAATATCTAGGTCGATAAAGTTATTGGTACAAATGAAAAAGGTGTCTTTTGTTCATGGAAAAACTAAATGGACTGCTTGGCCAACACAATAGTTCATCCAATCCAAGAGCCTACTGTTCCCTCTGGTTAACAATATTCTCGATCCTGATTGCTCAGCTAGAAAACTTGAGAATATACTGGTGGTGTGGAATATTACTGTGACCATTTACAGTAATTGAGCCTTGGCTCTCTATTGTTTAAATGTTCCCAAGTAATTGCTCATCAGCATTAACCCTCTGTTCCCAGCAGTTTGAACCACATGGCTCCTAAAAGCCCCTATTATTTTCACTTTCACCTTAGCTGATGTGTTCTAGAAATGCAGAAATGGAAGGAAGAAGGTTCAGTCTTTATTCTGTGTAGCATGCCTCTCTCAATATGTAATATCAATGACTCACCCTGAGACCAACTTCTTTATAAAAATGTCCATAAAAAGACATTTGTAGCCACTGCAGGACTCAAGTAAAATAATTTTGGTAGCAATAGCAAATATATTCAATGCTTATTATGAAAAAGCTTTAAATCTCTCTGACTTAATCCTCATATTAATACTTAAGTTTGAGGTAGGTACTATAGTTAGCAACATTGTGATGCATTTTCTGAGCTTTAAAGAGATTACGTTATTTGTTTAAGGCCACACTGATAATATTATGTAGCAGGGCTGGGACTTGAACCTCAGTCCAAATGACAGCAAAATCTGCTTTCAATTATCATGCAAGACTATAAACTCCAAGAGACAGAGAGCAGGTCTGTCTGTTCTTCTTGGAACCTAGCACAGAGCTTGCACCTGCTTGGCATTTGGTGAACATTTGTTGAATGGGTGAAAAAAAGAATAAACAAGAAAATAGACTTCTTGGCCTCTGATATAAATTGTGTTATTTTTATTTGTCATGTCATTGGGGAATAAAATAATTGGCCAGTTTTTTTTGTTAGAGTGTAATGTTAGCTAGACACCATCTGTTTAGTTTGCAATCTAGTTTTCATGCTTGCATTTATTTTCCTCCTAGTTAATTGCTCTAGCATTAGAGCAAGCTGTCTTGAATATCAATGCTTTGATTAAGGACTTGGATTATTTAAAAATAGGCTTTCCTACTCTGGCCTGGTGGTTCAGTTACTTGGAGTGTCATCCCATACACCAAAAGGTTGCAGGTTCTATTCCAGGTCAGGGCACATACCTATGCTGAGGGTTCGATCCCCAGTCAGGGTGCATATGGGAGTCCATCAATCAATGTTTCTCCCTCTCCCTTTCTCTCTAAAATCAATAAACATGTTTTACATCAATGTTTCTCTTCCTTTCTCTTTCTCTAAAATCAGTAAACACATTCTTGGGTGAGGGTTAAAAACAAACAAAACCAAAACACCTACATTTTCTCATAAACATAGCAATTTAAATAGAATTAAACGTTAGCTTTTTATTTTAATTAAAGTCTTTTCTAAATTGGCTATGCATAAATACTAAAGAAGATGTCTTTTAAAATGTACATATTAGGGAAAAGCAAAAAAAAGAAAAGAAAAAGACACTGAGTTCTTTTAAGCTTTCTTATAAGCTTTTTTCCTACAAATCCATAACTGTGCTCAGTCACTGACGAGCATGATGCTCCATCCTGCTTCTGCTTCCGGCTTGAGTAGAAAGCATCCCTTAAATTACTCTGACAACTGCATATCCAGCGCCCACACCAGTCAATGCCGACAGTGTGCTGGCTTTGGAGCTTCTGGGCAGCTCCGTAACCCTTGTTCTGTAACAGGCGTACTTCCCTGGTAAGTGAGCCCTAATTATCTTTTTAGGTCAATTCAAGGAAAAGCTCCAGTTTGTGCTTCTAAGATTCCTGTTGTTAGTCCCTCTTCTACTTTTTGGCCTGCTGGCCAAGAAGAACAAGAGGGACGATTTGAGGCCTTTTAAAACTCCTAGTGTTTAAGTGAATACATTACTGTTGTCTTATTTTTCAAATAGTACAGTTCCTGCCAGTCTACTTCAAAGCCCAAGACAGTGTTTTTTTCCTTATGTGATAAGTTCTCACTTTCCCTAGTGCCTTTCTGAGCAATAGTTACATGGACTTCCTAACTTTAATTAATGCTTCCCTTAATGATTCTATCAAGATTTCTATTTACACATAAACTTCCAGTAAGTTCAACTAGTTCTGGAAAGAATTCAAGTGTGAATCCAAGTTTGTGAGGATAGAAGTTAAAAATATGTAAATAAAAGCCATGTTTTAAAACAGCTGTGCAGTGATTTCTTCACGAGGCTCCTCTCATAATTAAACTATTAAATTACTCTGCATTCTTCCTCAAGCCCTACAATCCTAGATTTTAGCCTTTCCTTAGAATTTATTTTCTATACCTTATTCTGATGTCTCACTTAATTTTCATTTTCCACTAACTTGAGGACATCAGAGTAGAACATCCTATGCCAACCAAGTGAACAAGTATTTAATACAATGAAGATATTATTTTTCACAACTCTATGATTCTACTGATTAGTATGAAGCTTACCAGGAGGATTCTTACTAATGACTTATATAGGTAGGGCTCCTTCATTGCTGTGTCCACATGAACTGAAATATAACCACTTTCTTTCTTCTTCCCTCCTCTTCTCCCTTCCTTTCCCCTCCTCTCATTATTTTTTATTCTCTTCCTATTCTTTCTTTTATCCTTTTCTCTCTTCTCCCATTCTTCCTGTTATCCTGCCCAGGGTCCCCGTGGTCCTCAGGGAGAACCAGGAGACAGGGGCTTACCAGGAGATGGATTTCCAGGACCAAAGGTAACAATGCCTTCTTGTACCAGGAAAAAGTGCTTTGTCTTGCATAGTTACAAGTCACAAATTTTTAAAAATGTGTCCAATTATTAGAGGTCAAGTATCCCCAACTTCACCAACTTCACCTTGTTAAATGAAAGAATATGTAAATTTTCCCTTAACATGAAACCACAGTGAATTTTGTAATCAAAAATCTCTTAGCCTGTAGTCATTAAAGCCACAGTGATAGCATCTTTATGCCCAGTAGTTAAGTTACAGAGTGTAGCTATGACAAAGCTTTACTCACAGATTTGTTTTGTGAAACACAGATAAGAAACAGTCTAGTAAACCAACTGATAACAGTATTGGCATCAACACTGAATATGCTAAAAAGGAAAATGTGGCTGTGAAGAGGGAACTGGAATTACCTTAATACCATAAGGAGCAATTAAGAATTTAATTGTTTCCACTGCTTTCCACACAGAATTCTTGGAGCTCAAGTTCCTCTAGACCAGGGGTTGGCAAACTTTTTCTGTAAAGGGCCAGATAGTAAATATTTTAGGCTTTGTGAACCAGATGGTGCTGTTGGAACTACTTAACTCTGCTGCTGTAGCATGAGAGCAGCCATAAACGACATAGTATAAATGAACGAGTGTGGCTGTGTTCCCACAAAGCTGCGCTCACGGAACACGGGCAGGGAGCTGGATTTAGCTGTTGGGCTACAGTTTGCCAATCCCTCGTCTAGGCTGTTTCCTCACAATCTACATTACATTTGCCAAAGGCCACATGGGAAATGATTGTCCAAGATACTTTTGGCAGCATCCATAAAACTTCAGAGCAAGTGAGGATAGATTTTGGATTCTTTCTTCTTTCTTTTGGGAACTCTGTCCCCCAGCACACATAGACACACTGCCCAGAGAAGCACATGCTCTCTCCAAGTGACTAAGACCTTCTCCTGCGTTCAGTCAGGTCACTGAGTTCTGACCTTCTCAGTGCAGCCCCCTGCTCTAAGACTGCATCTCATTCTTGGCCTCTCCATCATGAAATATTCAATGATCCATGAGAAAACTGAATCTCCATAGAGGAAAATTAATTAGCTAAAGCAAACAATTCATACGGTGTTTTCAGAGACAGCTGGGCTGAATTTTCAGACAGATCCCTTTTAACTAGCAAAATAAATGTGTCATAATAAATGAAAATAATATCAATATGTTAGATAGAGGGGACATTACTAATGCCCTTCACTAACCAAATGTCACTGTCCAATACAGAGACTAGCAATTTGGCACTGCCTATCAGAAAGATTTCTAATACCTAGTTTCTTGAAATTTTTTTTTTGTTAATTTTTATGTATGTGCAGTCCAAAAACCCTGGAAAACTTAAATAGCCAGGGTTATTTCTCTTTATAATCTGTTTTTTAAAGATAAAGAAATAAATGAGAAATGGATATGTGAAACACTAAGATGGCATGTTGGAGAGCAGGTCCTAGTGACAAGTTCAGCTGTCTGATATAATGACACAAAATAACCCATGACAGGGCATTGCCCTCCAGCTCATCAGAGGAAGGACACACCGCATTCACTGTTGTTTTAGGGTCGACTGCATGAACTATGCTGTGGAAATGATCAGAAGGACTCACTGTTCAGAATACTTTATGCCCCAACCAGCAGGACCAAACTACTTGGGGCTGCTTTGCAATGATATAGGGCTTAAGGGATTATATCATGAATAGAAGGAGACACAAAGATATATTTTCCTGTTGCCTAGGTTTCTTGCCACTGTTCTTTGATTCTACTCTTGGTTCAAATAAATTCATGAAATGAATGCTATTTTGGATTGTTTACATGGTTTATTTTTCATACATATACAGTGTTATGACTTCACTGATAATACATTATGATTAGAGTTATTCACAGATGTCCTGTGATTTGATCCAAAAGACTTTACATTCTTTTAAAACTAAATTTTCAATGAATATTTATAAATTCTGACATAAAGCATGTCATAAATAATTCAACTCTAGCAAGCATTAGTTCACATACCAATATGAGAGACACATTTCCATGGTGTGGTTGTGGCACTGTTGGGGAAATGGAGGGTTGATTCAGTTAGATGTGCCATGTGATTGATTAGGCCCCCCATCTCCCAATATTTCTGGTTATAGTAGGAATAGAGCTCTTTTCTAACTTTAGTGATATTGCATATGTGTTCTGCTGGGACAGAGTCCTTCCTATAAGATGAAAATTTTTTTTTGCAAGTTACAAATCTTGGAGTCCATTAGAATTACCCATGTGCAGTGATCAGTGAATTTGGTTGCTTTGAATGGTTTGTTTTAAAATTCTGATTTTTATAGTGCACTGATATCTCTCCCATATACTTTCAGGGTGAAAAAGGTTCTGAAGGACCAATTGGCCCCCAAGGATTACAAGGCTTGTCAATCAAAGGGGACAAGGTACTGCAAATAGGCCATATAATAGAAGAGATGCCAACAAAGTTATTTTTAAAAGTTTTCATTATATATGTACATTTATGAACCATACACAACCTGACAACTATACCACACAGGGTCTATGGGGTCAACGTAATTCTAAATTATGTATATGCAAGGTATCTTAGTGTATAGGGTGAATTATGATCTGGAAATTCTCAAATTGTATATCTATAGTAATGTTTCATTTATTTAAGTCCTGACTTCCAGTTACCCTATCTTCACCCAAGCAGCTTTGGGACCAAATATTAATAAAAGAGACCTCTGCTTAGTAAAGAAAATAGCTGTTAAAAAACATGACCTGACCTTGTTACAGAGGCAGATATCTACTCTTAGGTGCCCACTCAAGAATCTTACCTTAAAATGGGGTGAACATGAAACGCATCACTTAAGAAAACTGGCATCCATGCCTCTGGCAAGGATCAACAGAAATCCACCTACAGTTACCAAATTTAGGTTTACTGACTCATTGCAGTGGGAGACCACATCCCCTGAGGAACCTATCACAATGCAGTAAGAAGATGAAAGATTTGTTTTCATAGGATTTGGGCTTATGTTAGGTGATTTGGCCATGTATTCGGTGAAGTGGATGCTATAGGGAAGTGGGTAATTTTAAGTTTGGGCAATTTAATGAATCTTACCTAGAAAGTGAGAAAAACAGAATCAGGTTTAGTTGTAATTGGTAAACAAGTAGCACATACTCATTTTAGCCAGTATAGGAGAACATCTGGTCATTTTTGAGGGGTTCGGACATTGTTTTTTGTTTTTGTCTGTGCTCAGACATAACTACAGTGAGGTCTTGCTTTTGTCTTGCTTGCGTCATCACACTGAATGGCCATGCGAGACACTGGTGTTCTGCAAAATTTTTTATGTTCAGTGCCATGGCCTACCTGCTATTGCTTTCTTCTTTCTTACTAGTTACTTGTTTTCTTTAAAACAGCTGCAAATTACCATACCCAGATTAGAAGTAGGGGTGAGGTCAGAGATAGTAGCTACAGGAGGCTAAGGCCCTAATACCAGTGGGAAGGGAAAGCTACCAGAGAGGGTATAAAATGTACAAAAAACAGAGACCTCATAAATATGGAGTCATTTATACATCAACCTCTGAGCATATCATTATATTATATATTATATTAGAATAATGATTGATATTCAAGATTATCTTAGGTATTGTGATTCAAACTTGAATTACTCATTTCTTTGATTTATTGGTAGCTGTCTCTTCTGGGAATCTGTATTTAAATAGCAGAAATAGTGGTAAATAGTGAGTTATATAAATTTCAGGTATAATGTAATTCTTGGTTGTAACTTCAGTGCCAGAATACTCTGAAAATATATAAATGCTCTTTCTTCCTTTGGAGCAGTGAGCATTGAGCACAACTGAATTTTTTTTCAATGTGTTCAGTAAATTAACTTTAAAGTACTGTTGACATTGCATTTTTTATTTTTACACCTGGAGTTCATGCAAAGAAAACACATCAAAATATTAGGACATTTTCACAGAGTAATTGCAAAGCCTTCATCTGTTGTTCCCTTGTTAATTCACACCGACTTCCTTTTCCCTTTCCTCCTTTCTTCCTTTCCTATTCTTTTATACATTAGATTCAGAGACTTTGCTGTCTGTGCTTCAAGTGGTAAGATAAATATGTCTATGTTAAGGGCTCTCAAATACATACAATTGTACCAAAAATGAGGTAGTTTTGGGACAGATATTTAAATGTAAATAACAATGCACAAAAGACCACTCTCGTGGGTATATTGGATAGTTGCAGGGTTATGACCTGGGTCCTGAAGTCAGAGAGCGGACTTGAATCTCGCCTCCGCCATCTAACACCAGTTGTGTGACTGGGTGTTTCTCAGCCTCACCTGGAAAATGGGAACGCCTGCTTTCAGAGGGTTGTTGTGAGGATTTGGTGAGATAAAGCACGGAAAGCATTTAGCACAGCGCCTGCCGCAGGATGAGCACTCAAGTTATGAATCAGAATGACCCAGTCCTGAATTAGGACTTCATTACATTTTCCTTCCATGAGATTTACTTAGACTGGGGATGGATGCAAAGTGAAACGTTCAAAAGCATATTCCAGGGCATGTTTTAGTGACAGGTCCGATATACTTTTTAGTATTGCATAAAGTATAATCGATCAATATACTTCCATTCATAAAAATATATTTGTTTGGCTCAGGCGTTGGCACACTATGGGGCTGGCTGTCTGTTTTTGTAAACACAGTGTTATTGGAACACAGGTTCACCTGGTCACTCACGGACAGTTTACGGCTGCTTTCATGCTGCCAAAGCCGCAGTCACTAGTTATGAAAGAGACCTTATTATGCCCGCTAGCATAAAATATTGGATGACAGACAGAAAGATGGATGAATGATATTGCTCTTCTTAGTGATAACATTGGTTTCCCAAATTTATTTCATGGGAAGGAAAATTAGGTTTCTTCAATTTTGTTGTATTTAACTTAGATAATTTCTTAATTTTCAAAATGTATCTTTGGGAAGATTTGAAGGGAAATGTATTTAGAAAATTTTAAAGCATTTTCTTCAATTTCTTTCTTGAATCCTAATTTCCTTGTACCCTCTGAATGTTATACTCTTAAATACTTCTGTTATAATCTGAACAGAAAGTATTTGTGTTATTATAATAACCATTCAGGAAATTTTGGTTCTTGTGAGAAAAATGACTGATAAATATACATACTGGTACAAATTCTCACCAGTTTAGACTAAAGAGTAAAAACATCATTAACTATTTTGGCAAATTTGAACTAAACTGCTTAAAAGGAAAATGGAGTTTGCTAATTTTCCATGTCGAATTTTTATATGACATGGAGATAGATTTTAATCTAGCATAATTCCAGATTAGCAAAGTGTGAAAGAATGAAGTTTCATTTTATGGTTATATGTTTGACTTATTTCCTATACAGGGGGATTTGGGACCCATGGGACCCCAAGGACCAATGGGCATCCCTGGACTCGGGAGTCAAGGGGAACAGGTAATCGATGCTTCGCCCTCTCCCTAAGGTACAGAATAACCGGCCCCATCCTGGTGTTCAATGATGGCCAGGCTTGCAAACATCACTGAGCATATTTGATAGTCAGACTGCAATGGTACTCACATCCAAAGTGAGTGTAGGAAGGAAAAGATGGTTTCAGGAGATCTGATTTTATAGAACTTTCAAGACTTAAGATAAATAGTGTGTTTCTTGGTGCTGTAACATTTTTGTTTTTATATAATCACCTGAGGACACGCTTTACTGATTTTAGAGAGAGGGGAAGGAAGGGGGAGAAGGAGGGAGAGAAACAGCAACATGAGAGAAACATTGATCGGTTGCCTCTCCTACCTACTTGCCCCAACAGGGGACCTGAACCCACTACCCAGCCATGTGATCTTACCTGGAATCGAACCTGTGACCTTTCTGCTGACAGGTGATGCTCCAACCAGCTGAGCCACACTGGCCAAGGCTCGATGCTGTAACTTTTAACATTAAAGCCTAATTAATAAGATAAGAGTTTGGGGATAATATTATATATTTTTGGCATCCCTTTGAAGCAATAGTTTATTTACCATTTGGTTTGTGTGTTTATTTTTCCCCTCTCACAGCTTTGAGAATGATTCCATCCCACTTTCTCCCAATGCCAGTAGGGTAGTACTTCTCACTGCCTAGCCATGTACCAGCTTAAAACAGTATTAAATTTACAACAAGGTCCAGAATCAGAAGTAACTGCTTAGTTTTAAGGGGCACCATTCCTGAACAGACACCAACCACAAATAGAGTATATAAGTGATGCTTGGCCTTTTTTGGTTAGAAGAAAAATCTCTCAGCTTGTCTCTACATTCATGACTGAAATTGCTTCCCAAATCTGACCAGAGCTAGCAGAAAGCTGGGTACACCTTGTTAGATGTAAGTGATATGATGGTAACATAACAGTACTATATACGGGTGCTGTTGACCACACACTTTTACCCACAATTTTCATTTAATCAAGTGACCAGTAAATCCAAACTTATGCCCAACACCCTCCTGCATAGGACATGGCAATCTCAGTTTGATTAAAATTTATGATTACGGTTTGAATTATTCTGTTGCTTAAGAATGAATAGTATTTCCTTTATCTAGGATAGTGGGAGAAGAAAGCACTAAAGAAAAATGAAATAATTTTTCATATGGCTTTTTGTTGCCATTTGAGTTTATTTCTAACCACCTTCTAATTAATTAGTATATTTTTATTGCAGTTAATGCAAGCAACAGCAAAGTTGGAGTTATTTCTTCTTCTTTTCCTTAGTGGAGGGCTTAGTATAACAAATTAGAAGGATTAAGGGGCAAGATAAGCCGAAACAAATGTGTAAATAAATATTTAGATGATAATGAAGAGCTGGATACTTTGACCATGTATGGGTTGATTATGTGACCACACACTCTCATGCTTTGTAGTTGACTTTTGAATCCCAGAAGTGGCGGGACAGTACTGTCACATCCTGGGTCTGGTGGTGTTCTTGGTGCTGAGTCACCAGTCTAAGGCTGAAACTGAGGTTCAAAGACAACCAGTCTGTCCAGATGGCCCATGGACCCTGGACCTCCCACCTGCAGCTTCCTGTTACCTCCAGTACTGGTTCTTCCTGGAGGCTGTTTTCCTGCAGTTTAAAAACGCCCTCAAACCTCCTCAACTTTTGTTTTCTCATCCCCTTCTGTTCCTTTCCAAGACAAAAACACTTTTGAGCTGGACGTGTCTGCATGGAGCTGAGCCCTATGGGATGGGAGGCTGAATGGAATGTGCCATTCGTAAACTTCCCCGAACAAGAAAAAAATCTGTTTATCCTTCTAAGACAAATGATCTAAAATCTACTTAAATTTAACTGTAATCCATGCAGTTATTAATTTTTCCTCTTATCCTTAATTTAACATGTTTATCCATTGAATTCCTGATATTATTAGGTATCCCTATTTCTCTTGCAGAAGTGAATTTTCTCATTCATCTATTTATGAGGAAACTTCTGTTTCCATGCTAGCAACAAGTGTGTAATATCCTGCAGATTTTTGTTAAATATTTGGAGACTTGACAACCTTCCATCTTTTCTTTTTTATCCTCACCTAAGGAAAAAATGATTGATTTTAGAAAGAAAGAGGGAGGAAGGGAGGGAGACACATAGAGCAAGACCAGTGTGAGAGAGAAACATGAGTCGCTTGCCTTCCATATGTGTCTCTGCCAGGGATGAAACTCACAACCTAGGTATGTGCCCTTGACCAGGAATCGAACCTGCAACTTTTGGTGCACAGGATGATGCTCTAAACAACTGAACCACCTGGCCAGGACAAAAACCTCAAATATTTTATAAAATGAAGAATATAAATAACCACATATACATCTGTAGGCACATATATGTGCCCTTTGATTTTTTTTGGTTCCTTGTCCTACTGCATGCTACTTGGGTTAGGAAAAAGTCCTTCTTATAAAGGTTCAGTGTTTTCAAGCTTGGCTTGCTTAAATTGTTTAGATTGCTTCACCTTTATAAGTCAGAGAAAGGGAAATACCATTAGTAATTTTGAAATGAACAGCTGTCATAGCTTCTAGCTGGAGAAAGGGCCTAACATTTGTAATAATCATATTTCTGTAACCACTATACACACAGGCATGGCTTGTGGGGTCTCGGCAAAACCAAATCTTAGTTTTTTTCTCTCTCATCCCCTTAAAATATTTTTTATTGGGGGAAGTTTCTTTTTTGTCCCACCACAAAAAGAAATGATCACCAGGGTAGACTTTTCTTATCGTTTTTTAGTTAACAGAAAGTTACTGGATCACTCTAAGCTGCAAATCCCAGTTTTAATTGTACAATAAAAACTCTCTAGTCACCATATAAATCTTCCCTTCGATCTTTGTTCACCCGGTGTGAGCTGCACAGAGAGCCTGTGGTCCAGGGGGAGAAACATGCTTCTCATCCCGCCCCAGGCTGAGTCCAGGTTGGGAGGAGCGGCGGGGTACAGGGGTTCTTTGTCACTGACACTTTCTCATGGGGACCTGCACTGGTCCCTGTGTTTGCCCCTCTTGGAATATGGATAAAGGACTCTCTTCCTTCATCTATGTCTTCCCACCAGCCTCTGCTTTCCTGGGGGTTTACTCTGTACCAACTCTTTTTGTTAGAGTCCCATCACTCTTCTGGGCCCTCTTGGACGGGCTTCAGAACAGCTCCGCGCCTACTGTCTCACACTTCGAGTGCATCTGGTCCACAGGAAAAACTCGTGTGGCCTTTGCACAAACTCTGATGCTCAGGTGGATCCCACCCCAGCCCTCGCTTGGCTATCACAGTCCAGTTAGCTTCCTCAGGTACAAGTCAGACACTGGCCCCTGTGGGTGGAATAGGTGAAGGGGTCAAGCTAAACAAAAACTCATAGACACACACAACAGTGTGGGATTGCCAGAGGGAAAGTGGAGGTAGGGCAGGTAAAGGGGAATAAAGGGGGCAAATGGTGATGGAAGGAAATTCAACTCTCGTCGTGAACACATAATACAGTCTATAGATGATGTGTTATAGAATTGTACACTTGACATTTACATAATTTTATTAACCAATAAATTCAATAAAAAGAGTTCTTAAAAGTAAAATTTCACAATTGTTTAAAAATTAATTTCTTCAAGTAGTTTATTGAAGTTCCCTTTGTAGAGTGGGGTAAAGAGTGAAGCAACTTAAACCCCTCTCACTTTCTCCAAAGAGAGATTTTCATAGCTCCTTCTTCCAAAGAACAACTTTATAAATGCTGTCTCCTTTCCCTTTTTACACCTACAACACGAGTGAGAGGCAAATGTGTGAACATCTGTCGGTTTGCTGTCCTCTGCCTGTGGCTTCTAACAGCCTCGGTCAAACCTGCATTTGAACATCCTGACACATACCCATCGGTCCAGCGAGGGTGCAGGTGTGCTGGTGTGTGACCGAGTGCGGAATGGGTACCAAGGTGAAATGTCCTTTCTCTTACTCAGAACTCCAAGCTGCTGTGGCAGCTCTCTTCCTCAGGGGTCCGGGCTTCTCCATTATGGTTCATCAGCCATCCTGAGAATCTTCTTCCTCCACGTAATCCAGGAACAACACCACGTCTTCCCTTCATCCACGGGAGAACCAGCCGAGGGGAGGAGAAGGCATACCTCCACCTTCGCATGGACCACAGAGTACACACCTCACTTCCGTTCACATTCCAGTGGCCAGAATCCAGTCATATGGCAACACCTGGCTGCCACAGGGCCTGAGACATGTGGACTTTATTCTAGGCAGTCACGTGGGCCAGCTGAAATTTCTCTCCCCATTGGAGGAGGGGAGAAGGTATTCTATGATTCAACGAGCAGCCTCTGCTATCCCATCCAACTAATATAGAGTATTAGTAATTCATTATCACTTTAGAGGATTTGAAGTATCATACTCACTTTAGAAGATTTAAAACTGCTCATTCATATTTCTTTCTCATCTCACTAATACTATTTTTAAATTTTTATTTTAAAGGGAATCCAAGGTCCTATTGGTCCCCCTGGTCCACAAGGACCTCCAGGACAGGGATTACCTGGTTCCAAGGTAACGTTCTCAAGGGGAGAGGAGTTTAATATGTCTATTGTCTAATTGCTGTTTTCTGGGTAGTGGCTGGGCATGTGGAAGGCAGCAGCTGAAATGAACTTAAAAATCATAGATCTCTACTTAATGTAAAATACTACTGATCTTCTTAGTGGTTTAGAAAATATAATGTATATCCTTCATGCTCATAGAAGCTTCTATTTATGCAGTAATTATTTGCTGTTTTCTTTATTACTCTTACTTAGGAGGCCCTGTTCTAACAACTGCAGTAGCGATAGCGGCAGAGACAACACGTGGTTGCATGGCCCCCGGGCAGACTCATTCTCATTCTCACCGGAGGGTCCAAACTCTAAAACATTTCGTTAAAGATGTGGAGTCAGAAATGACCCAACAAATAAGCATTTTCTATAAATCCAGGAATTGAATCACCCCCTAAGCTAGGACTATTATTGAGCCCTTGGGGAGAGGTATGGCACCTGTTCTCTCATCAGCTGTCCTTCATGTTGCTTTAAGAAATCACCAATTGTTGTTCAATAAATAAATCCTTCCCTGAGAGGTCTCACTGCCAAGCATACTCCTTCGCGATGCCCATGTTAGAAGCAGCTCCGTGGAACACTGTCCTGGAGATTTCTGCTGTGGGGCACATCATCGAACACTCAGGCTATTGTCTCTGGTCGTGATGCTGCCCTTGATCACCAGTCGTCTTGGCTTCTCATGTGCTGGGGGTGGGGTGGGGTGGGGGATTCGTAAAATCAATTTGAGTATGGTACATAGCCTGTATGTTGAGCCAGACCATTATACATGTACACATTCCAAATATGGTGGGGGAATATATATATAAACTGAGCACATGAAGCTCAGTGGTCTCTTATTTGGTTGATATAAGACAGCTCTTAGGAGACCAAAGACAGAGATATATTATTTTTATTCTCCTGACCTAGTCAAATAGCCTTCAAATGCTCTTTCCATATCAGGGAGAAGTAGGCCAGATGGGACCTCCAGGCCCTAGAGGACCAGTGGGGGTTGGAGTACAAGGCCCAAAGGTAAGTTGATTACGCTGCTCAGACGCATTTAGATAATTTGTGTGATATTATGTAAAGTTTCACTTATATCCAAATGAAATATCCAAATGAAATCTCCAGAGGAGATTATGTATGTATCATCCTAACTGTTACTTTACTGGAGTATTTATTTAGAAAAAGTCTGATACTCAGTATAACTCTTATTGTTTAAAACCCCCCACAAAATTGGTTTAATTTAATGACTGCTGTTTGTTTTTATTCATGAATTTATTAGGATCAGAGGCCTGCTTTTGGTATAGAGTGGTTCTTTAAGAACATTATCACATGCCATATTATAAAACAAAGCCCCTAGTGGGCAGGATTTCAGTAAAGGTCACTTCCTTTCCTGTGTTTTATGGCTTCCCAACCCATCCATTCCTTAAATCTAAAATAAGTCCAGTCCGCTTCTGTTACCCAGTAATTTTATATCTCAGCATGCTGTGATTTCCTTGCTTTTACCACTTATTCAACTTGCATTTAATTTGCATGTTTTTGAATTACAGTTGACCCTTGAACAAGGTGGAGTTTAGAGGTGCTGACTCTCTGCAATAACTTTTGAATCCCCCCAGAACAAGTCATCCCTTGGTATCCACGGGAGGTTGGGTTCCAGGACCCCTGCAGACACCAAATTTTTGGAGGCTCAAGTCCTTCACATAAAATGGTGTAGAAGAATGCATACAGTTGTCTGTCCATGGATTCCCACAGATTCCCACAGATTCCCACGGATTCCCACAGATTCCCAGCCACAGAGTAGTTTTGATCCATGGTTGGTTGAATCCATGGTTGGTTGAATCCATGGTTGGTTGAATCCATGGATGCAAAACCCAGTGATGCAGAGGGCTGAGTCTACATTTGTTGAAAAAATCTGCACAGAAGTGGACCCGTGCATTTCAAACCCATACTGTTCAAGGGTCACCAGCACTTCTCATCTTACTGTGCCCTCTAGAAGTGTACTCTCCAGTACTGCAGCTACTAGCCGCATGTGGTTACTGAGTGCTTAAGGTGTGGTTGGTGTGAGCTGAAACCTCCAAGTGTAGTGGTGATATATACATCGGATTACAATGCTTGGTCCAGAAAAAGAGTGTCAAATATGCCATTAATGCATTTGTACGCTGATTAAATGTTGAAATGGTAATATTTCAGATACAATAAATAAAACCTATTAGAATTATTTTTACCTACTTTTAACTGGATAAATGTGGCTGCTAGAAAATTAACATTACATATGGGGCTTGCTTTATATTATTGGGCCTTGCTGCTCCTTTGGGGCAGGAACCTGGTTTCCTTCTTTTTCTTCTTAATTATTGAATTACCAGCTTGGGAGACATGATAGGTACTCAATAAATGCTGCTGAATAAATGAGTGAATCCTTACTTCACCTTTCACAATTTCTATAACTCATCCTGAAAGCATATAAGGTCTGGTGAGCCATTACCAGACCATAAACTTCAGCATTAAACTTCACCATTGTTCTCTGCCATTGCCATCATTCTTTAACATATTTGGTTATTAGAAGAAATTTAAGATGTAGGCCTAAGGAGAACCTGCATGTTCCATATATATAAACATATAATTATGGGGGATAAGGTGTGTACTAATGTAGTAATAATTGTAATCATTTGTTGAGTGGTTTTGATGTGCCATACAATGTGCTAAGAGCTAAATATGACATATGTCTATACATATATGGAATGTATACATTTATACATATGCATGTACGATGTCCTACAGTTGCCAGTTTCAGAGAGGTGATGTAAGGTAGAAAGGCTTAGTGGTTAGACTACCTAAGTTCAAACCCCAGTTTTGCCACTAACTAGATGGGCAATCTTAAGCATCTCTTACCTTAAAAAATAAAGTATTTCAAACATGCTACCATATAGAATAATACAAAGAACACCCAAATATCCCATGACCCATATGGAATACAGTCATAATAAATTTTTAATATTTTTTTCAGATGTATTTTTTATTCCTTCTTTCTTTAAAAAAATTGTTCCAGTACAATTGTCTCCATTTTCTCCCCACCACTCCTCCCTGTCCCCCCATCCTGCCTCCCATCCTCAGTCCTACCCCACCTTTGGCTTTGTCCATGTGTCCTTTATACATGTTCCTTGACTACCCTTCCCCTTTTTTCTCCCCCATTACCCTCTCCTTCCTTCTCTCTCGTTACTGTCAGTTTGTTCTTTATTTCAATGTCTCTGGTTATATTTTGCTTGTTTGTTTTGTTGATCAGGCTCCACTTATAGGTGAGATCATATGGTTTTGTCTTCCACTGCCTGGCTTATTTCATTTAGCATAGTGTTCTCCAGTTCTATCCATGCTGTCATGAAGGGTAGGAGCTCCTTCTTTCCTTCTGGTGTATAGTATTCCATTGTGTAAATGTACCACAGTTTTTGATCCATTCATTTACTGATGGGATATTATAAATAGTGATGTTTAATGTTCTTATATGCTAATTCCATCATGTATCATTTTCTGGATCAGTTTTAATTGATTGATTTTTCTCAACACAAAGGGCTGTATTTTCCAGCTTTTTTGAATGCCTGATAATTTTTGATTGGATGCCAACCATTGTGGATTTTATCCTTTTCTTGGGGGGATGGGGTGCTGGATATTTTTGTATTCCTATTGATATTTTGGCTTTGTTCCTGGATGCTTTTTAAGTTACTTGAAAATGGTTTGATCTTTGCGGTCTTGCTTTTAAGTTCTAGGAGGCAGGAAAGGCAGCATCCAGTCTAGGTCCTCGCAGATCCTTGAAGTTGGTTGTTTCCTCTGGCCTTGGGTAGTTTCTTCACACTGTGCTGTGCAGTATTCACCTGATGCTCCAGGGGAAACTCAGCAAATCACAGTTTTCTGCACGTGACTCCTTCCTTTTTGATAATCTATTCTGTGAATTTTTTACACCTGGCTACCTTGTCTCCTTAACCTTCTGAATTTTCCCTGGGTAGTTGCTCCCTGCACCATGGCTGGGAAACTATTCAGGCAGTGAACTGGGGAATTTGAAAATTTTACCTTATTTGTTTCTCCTTTCATAAGGGTTATTTTTCTTCATTATTTGGGGTTGAATGCCTTGAGAGACCCTGTTTCATATATGCTGTTCAGTGTTCTTGTTGTATTAGGAAAGAAATTAAATCTAGTTCGTATTCCTCCATTCTGGCTGGAGCCTTAAGTTGTATCTATTCTCACAGGTAGACTGGTGTATAATTGAGTTTTCTTGTCTTGTTATTGTGTGTGTGTGTTTGCATCAAGATGATATTAGTCTCGTAAAATAAGTTGTGTAGACTTCCTCTTTCTATTTTTCAGAACTATGTGTAAGACAGGAAATATCTGTTCTTCAGAGGTTTAATAATTTGGTAAGGCTTGACTCTAAAACCAGTTAAGCCTGTGATCCTAAGAGGAAGTGAGATCCCTTGAATTACTGATTCAACTTACTTAAAGCTCTTAGTTTATAAAGCTTGTCAATTATATCTTATATTTTTTATGTAATTTATATTTCTGTTGAAGATTATCTATTTATTAATGTTTTCCAACATACTTTTGAAATTGTCATAGAAATTTTCTATGATTTAAAAATATTTATAATGTATATATTTATAGCTCTTTAATTCTTAATACTGTTTATTTGTGGCTTTTCTTTTTTTTTTATTTGTGGCTTTTCTTTTTAAAATATTAATCATTTCCACTAGGCTTTATTTTAGGTTTTTAAAAAATATCACCTTTTAACTTTGTTATTCTTCTTACTTTTTTGTTTTCATGTTTATATTTTTCTTCTCTCATCTTTATTATCTTCTTTTACTTATTTTTAGGTTCACTGTGCTTTTTTATCAGTAGCTTTTTGAGTTTAGGTTAGTTGAGATGACTTTCAATTATCTTTAATATATTTTGCTTCTAATAAATGTAGTAAGGACAACTTTATACTGTTTGAAGATAGCATGTGTTTCCTTTGAATATATTAAAGAACTTACTCTTAATTACAAATTAACTCAAAAGCAGGTGAAACTGAGTATTAGAGCTGAAAGTGATGGTAGGCCCCAAATATTTTCATGTAACTTTTATATTAGTTTCTCAGGATTGCTGCATCAAAGTACCACAAACTGTGCTTACTACAGAAGGAATCTATTGCCTCATGGTTCTGGAGACTAGAAATAGAAAATCAATGTGTGCTCAGAGCCATGTTCCCTCCAAAACCTGTAGGAAAGAATCCTTCTGGGCCTCTCCTTAGCAAGGGGCCAGTCCTTGGCACTCCTCAGCTTGCAGCTACATCACTCTAATCTTTGCTAGGTTGTCACTTGGTGCTGTCCCTGTGTGTCTGTCTTCACAAGGTGTTTTCCGCTTTTTAAAGAAACATTGGTCCTGTTGAATTAGAGCCCACTCCAATGACCTCCTCTTAACTTGATTACACCTGCAAAGACCCTATTTCCAAAAAAAACATCACATTCACACGTACCGAGGGTTAGGATTTTAACATAAACTTTTTGGAGTCAATTCAACCCATAACAAAAAACATAATCCAAAACTGAGACCCAGAGAAGTAAAGTAACTTGGCCAAGGTCAAACAGTTTAATCACTATTTAGATTTCTCAGCTCAAAGGTTTTTCTTACGCACTATTATGATGTATCTAATTACAAGTACCTCAAAATGGGGGTGCATGATAAACATGAACTGCTGGAAATAAAATCTTTTCTCATCCACCAGGGGGCGCCAGGAACAATAGGGCTCCCAGGCCAGCCAGGAGTACCAGGAGAGGACGGAGCTGCAGGGAAGAAGGTACCTAGGTTTTTCATATTACAGGAGTAAAAACCATTGGACCACACTGATCCCTTGGTCCTGCAGGACCTCAAATTAAACCATCCAGGGCACATTTAGTCTTTTAAGAAAAAAACCCCACAAATCTAAATTTCCTTGTTCACTGACATGTTCTTTTTCTCTAAAAAGAGCACCAGTTCAAAGGATGAGTAGTGTGTTATGCCTTCTGCCTTCGCTCTGGTGTTTGCCAGGACATTCTCTAGTGACCCAGTCTTTTTTGGATACCTAGAAAGCACTTTAATTTAAACTTAGACAAAAACAATCCCCCCCCCACTGTAAAAAAATATCTGTAAATGCATTTGGGAAGTAAAACCATTATAAAGATTTCCTGAAATATTGTAAGTGGACACGTGAAATATTTATTTTCAACACAAGCAGTAAAAAACATCAGATGAAAAGGCTGAAGGTCTTGTTTTTCAAAAAAACAAACTACCAAAAGTGAATGACAAGCCAAAAGGAAAGTAAGCTTATTTCTTCAGAAATTGGCTGAGAAATTGGACTTTTTCATATTTCAGCTGCTCTGTGCTAAACTAGAGTTTGGTACTAATTTATCCAACTTGACAAACTGCTAAGCTAATTTTGTGAGTAAAGTTAGGGTCTGGTCTGTTTTGGAGGGTCTCAGCAGAGACTCCACTGGCCTGAGAGGAGGCCGAAAGGCTGATAGAGAGGGTGGGACACAAATAACGCCCCTCTTTTGTTACACAATCATAAGCATGTAATTCTGTCACATAACAATATCTGTCACATAACAACACTCAAGCACACCACATGACATTTTAGGTGAAATGTTCAGACTAAAATTAAAAGTGATTACACCCATATTACTACCCCACCAACCACACTCACGCAGGCATTACTTCTGCCGCACCCTGCACACGGCCTGTGGAGGGTCAGCTAAGCCCCCGGTGTCATCTTCTCCAGGGAGAAGCAGGGCTCCCAGGAGCCAGAGGCCCAGAAGGACCACCTGGAAAAGGACAGCCTGGCCCCAAGGTACGGAGCTGACAATGTCGGGGGGAGCAGACTGCCTGTGTTCTGGTCCCGATACTAAGGAGCCAACTTGGGGAAAATGCGATTGTTATTCTCACTATGTCAAATGTGTTTACTTCTGGCTTAAAGTTATGGACACTAGCTTGCGAGTTCCGGAAGAAAGCAAGTATGTTATTACTCATCTTTACTTCCTAACATCCATTCTAACACCCTTCTTATACAAAGAGTTCAACACATGTTTTTCTTAATAGCCAGACTGACATTTAGAAAACACAGAGGAAGGGAAAGAAGCCTTGAGATATGTCCTTGAGACCTGCAAGTTCATGCATTTTCTTTAAGTATTTATGGAATTTCACACAGTAAGAAGAAGTATTACCTTATTAAGTGGCAATTTTCCCTTCGCAACTTGGAATAAATTTATTTTTATACATTGTAGAAACGCTAGTGACTACCATCTTTATAGGTCAAGATGAGAATATCCACATTCATTGATAAGACAGTTAGCGACATAACCCAGAGCTCTAAGCTGCTAGATGTGCCTGTATTTTTTATGCACAGCATCAATGTGCTGTAAAGATTCTGAAAAAGTAGACATGAGGAACGTAAAGTAAAATCTGTATACAAAGATGTTGAAATAGTAATGGACAGCTTAAGACATCTTTGTTCTTGAAAAATACTGGCTAAAATTGAGTCCTTAACCTTAAATGTGAGAATTTGACACTTAAGTATATTTGTAAAATTTCAAACAATTTTATTTATTGACTCACCAGATTATGAGATTCTTTGGGGGCTGTGGGGGAGGAATATAGACAGAGAATATCTTTTTAACATCATGCAAAAATACTTATAGAAATGCTTTCCCGTTAACATTCAGGAGGACTTGTATATTCTAGAATATGCTTTTGGAAGGCAGACCATTGAGGTAATAACTGAAGCTATAAGAATGAGTGATATCTCTGAGAAATAGAGCTGAGGTTTGACTTTCACGCTGCACAGTTGCTAGAGAAAGAACATTCAAAACAGGACAAAGGTAGGCACAATGGTTACCGTGTTAGGGAACCTAAGGAGAAATCATTTCAAAGGGTGTCAGATGCCACCACCGGAGCAAGGACAATGTGCTGAAAGAGAGGCCACTCGATTTGTGGCTTCGAGGTGATCTGTGGCTTTGGAAGGATATTATAGCAGAAGAGGGATGGGAATATGTTACATGGCCCAGTGTCCCCTTATGGTTCAGTGTTGGCACTTTCTTATTTGGCCAGGCTCCGGTTGTGGTCTTCTGGGGTGATTTCGGTCAATAAATTGAATTTGGTAATGAGTGAAAGAATAAGTAGTTTTTGTTAGATTTTTTTCTCCATTGGGAAATTTTGACACAATAAGTGATATTTAGACATTCAACTGCTACTTTTGTAGCAGGGTAGTTCTGTAATGCTCAGGGGCTTCTGGGTGAAGGAAAGACAGTTCTCTGGGGGAGCGGTGTATACACCCAGGCTGGGGACCAGTCAGTAGGCAGTTTCCAGCTCTGCACCAGGTTAATGCTCACAGTCTTTCACCAACAGAACCCCCAGTCTCCTGTGGGGGAAAGAAAGAGGCCCCCCACTGAGGAAGAAGTGGGGCTGGACTTGAAAGATATCCCCTTTTATGTTTGGAAACTGAAATAGCATGAACACTGAAAACCACCAAGGAAAAGCGTAGATCAGTCTGCTTGGTGGTGCTGTGCCTTTCTCAGAACCACCCATTAATAGGCCAAGAGTACGTAAGAATTGTACATTTAAATAAAAGTCCCCAAAGAAAGATACTGAACTTAGATTTAAAAATATTAAATCATATTGATTCTGAAGTATCCAGTCTGCTCAAGAACCTTGACAAACCCTGTATAACTGACCTGGGCTTATCACTTTAAACTGGGTATTAGTTGAGAATGTGGCGCTGATATGGTTGTTGCATGACCGGGGAGGCTTTGTTAATACAACAACTATGTTTTTATTTTGCCAGGGAGACGAAGGAAAGAAAGGGAGCAAAGGAAATTCGGGACAGAGGGGATTTCCGGGGCCCGAAGGGCCAAAGGTAAGGTATTTATACTCTCATTTCTCTCTGAAGAGATTACAGTTGTATCTGGTTTTAATAGAATATTAGGTTTCTACCACAAATTTGATTTCCCATTTTCTTCTGAACAAATACAAAGCAAAAACCTCAAGGTGAAAAACATCTTCAGAAAATATATTAATCCAGACCATGGTAGAATGGAATAAGAAGGTTGCATACCATATGTGTTTCTCACTGGAATGTTTATGCTCCTAAGAGAGAATCTGTATGTCGCCCCTCTCTGGGACACAGTTAGGACCACAGGCGAGACCAGTCCTCTATCATCTAGTTCTGCCCAACAACGTAGGAAGCCCCAGGCTACGGGGCAGTTGACTTGACGAGCAGGGCTGCAGAACGCTGGGGGGGGGGCGGCTGAACTAGTCTCATCCTGCTCCTCCCCAGAACCTTCTGGGGCCAGTCGTTTCAATTGCAGAAGGAAAGTAATACTAAGATCTATTTCACAGGGTCGTTGGGAAAAGTAAGACATTTAACAAAATGCTTAATACAGTTTCTGGCACGCAGCAAGAGTTCAATATGTGGAGTTATTTAGAGAGCTTATGGAAATGAAAAGTAGGGGACCCATGTCCTGATAAAGTGTCCTGATAAAGTGTCCAGCTGAGGAAGAAGTAAAGGAAATCATGAGGCAAGTGATTAGGTACATGTCCTGCCTTAGCAAGAGAGGGTATTGAGGTTATTTGGATGTGTCAGGAAACAGAAATTTGCAAACCTAAGGGAGCTCATGCCTCTAGGAAGATACTAATTGTAAAAAGAGACACAGACCAGACTGCTAAAGAACAACTAAAAAAAATGGCCATGGCATGATGAAAGCAGGTACAAAACACAGTGACCCCTGTAGGCCAGCGATTCTTAAACGTCGGTGCCCCTCAGTGTCCCCCAGGGGGCTCCTTGCAAATCCGTGTTTCTGGCACCATGCCCAGGGATCTGGGTACCAGGGATCTGGGTACCAGGAATCTGATTTTCTTCAATAAGTGCCTCCTGCTGCAGGGAGTTTAAGGAGCACAGGATGAGAAATCCCCCTCTATAAGAAATATGTTGTATTATTATTAATAACAGTGATTACTCTTTGCATCTTAGTTGCTCTTATTCAAAGTGAATATTTTTCTGTATTTTGAAATAAAGCTCTTTTTAATGAAGAACTGCTGTATTTGAATTAATAATCACACCTTAATAAAGGGTCTTTAAACAGTTGTACACCTATGTATATAACTTTATATTTTAAAAGTACAGTAATTGGCCTCTTTAACAAAGGTAGATGAGATTAAATCTGGAACATAATCTTGCTTACCCTGGTCTTTGTGAAAATATAACAGGTCATGCTTTATGCCTTTGTCAAAGGACCGACTGGGGCGGTGACGTGTTCCCAGAGCCCTGGTTTGTGGTGGGCTATTGACCTGCAGGTGGGAAGCAGGGTCGGCCACATTTTGGGTAAAGGGACAGGTAGTAAATATTTTAGGCCTTGCAGTCCAAGAGGCAAATTGAGGATGTTATGTACCCACTTATATAGCAATCATTTACACGTGTGAAAGCCGTTTTAGTCCTCGGCTGTCCAAAGCCAGTGGTGGGTTGGATCTGGCCCACAGGTAGCAGTTTGAGGCACCTGTTCTAGATCCCTTGTTTCCAAACGGTTCGGTTACAAATCTCTAATAGCACTCCAATATGGGTTTTGTTTAGTTAGTTTTCCATCGTAGTTTTTATTTGGAAACTATCATATTAATGTTATAAGGTTTATCTAAATAATGGAAAATTTAAAAGAGGAGATAAAAGTAAATAGTGCAGCCCTAATATTTTCTTCTAATAATGCCCAGTGGGTCCATTTAAACACCCTGCAGGCTGGGTGCACCCTGTTATCTACATCAGAAGCCCCAGAGCTGCCTCATAAAGATTCATATTCCTTGATCCAGCCCCCACATCTATTAAAATATCTGGAAGTGACCATCCATAGATGACTGAATAAAGAAGATGCAGGCCCTAGCCAGGTGGCTCAGTCGGTTGGAGCATTGTCCCACGCACCAGAGTGTTGCAGGTTTGATTCCCGGTCAGGGCATGTGCCTGGGTTGCGGGTTTGATCGTCAGTCAGGGCGTGTACAGTAGGTGACCAGCTGATTTTTCTCACATCCACGTCTCTCTCTCCCCCCTCCCCTTCCCCTTTGTCTAAAATCAATAAACATATGCTTAGGTAAGGATTTAAAAAAATGAGAATAAAAGCTTAATTTAAAACCAAACAAAAAGATATGGTATATATATACACGATGGAATATTATTTAGCAATAAAAAAGAATGAAATCTTAGCATTTGCAATAGTATGGGTGGACCTAGAAGGTATTACATTAAGTGAAATAAGTCAAAGACAAAAACCATATATTTCACTTATATGTGGAATCTAAAAAACAGAATGAATAAACAAACAAACCAGAGACAGAGTCATAGATACAGAGAACAAACTGATGGTTGCCAGAGGGAAGATGGGCTGGGTGGCGGGGTGGAAATCGTGACGAGATAAGGAGTACGAATTGGCGGTTGTTAAACAGCGGTGGGGACGTAGAGAACAGTATGGGGAACACAGTCAGCAATGTTGGGGTAACTGCACATGGAGCTGTTGTGTGCTAGACTTATGGGGCAATCAGTTTATAAATTATCTATAACACACCTGAAACTAATATGATATTGAATGCCAACTGGAATTTTAAAAATATCCCTGGGACTGAAACCCTGGACTCTCTATTTTACCAAATTCCTCCAGTAATTACTCCCTAAAATTTGAGAACAATTGATCTAGAACTAGGTAGGACAGAGATACTACTTGCTATTTCTTTCTTTTTTTAAAGATTTTATTTATTTATCTTCAGGAGAGAGGGAGAGAAATATCAATGTATGGTTGCCTCTCGTGTGTCCCCTGTTAGGACCTGGCCTGCAACCCAGGCATGTGCCCTGACTGGGAATCGAGCTGTCATACTCTGGTTCACAGGCCCGTGCTCAATCTACTGAGCTACACCAGCCAGGGTTTACTTGCTATTTCAAATTGAGTCTTTATTGAGACTCAATGTTGAGACACCCACCTGACATTGAGAGATGTTTTAATTTTTCTATTTGAAAATGTATCTATGTGTTTGTTTGTTTATACCATAAGTTCTCTACTTCTAAAAAGGGATATGAAATACTTTACAATGGAAGACTGACATACCATGGACCACAGAACTAAAGAACAAAGGAAAAAGTTATAAACTAAAAGAAACATTATTTCTCTTTCAAGTATACCAAAAAACTTATGCTGAAGATAATTGTTAGAATTGAACAAATATTTCCCTCTGAGCTTCTTGGCATACAGTGAAAGGGAAGCATCATTAATTGCATTATTTTTATTAACTAATAAAAGGATATACAAAAGACAAAATGTGCCGAATACTCAAGAATTAACTGAGTGTATTTATTGAAGGCATTGAAATCTTAATCATCAATAACTTTAGTAGTGGTTTAACAAAGATGTTGAAATGTTTTTACATTGGACTGTGAAACAGGTCATAATATTTCAAAATGCTGGAAACACATTTCTATGCTTTTCCTAATGTAATTCCTATATATATATATTTTGTTTGTTTGTTTGAAGTGTAATGAGTATTTTGCTTTGCTTTTAGGGTGATCCAGGGGTTATGGGCCCCTTTGGGCTGCCTGGAGCATCAATTCCTGGACCACCTGGGACAAAGGTATGCATTCTTGTGAATACTTTTTTCTTTTTCTTAAGATAGTTGGAGAAGGGGAAAATTCATGATACCAGTCTACTAGAATTTTAGCTTTGGAAGAACCCCAAAATGTTACCTACTTCAGCCCTGATGCATCACAATGAAGCAAACTAAAGGCCAACCACAAATGTAAGATTAGAGACAAGATTTCTTGCTCCCGGTCTTGAGCTTGTCATTTCATCGCAAATTACCTCCCCCAAATCTTAGACCTTAATACGAGTAAGAATTTATTGCATCTATTCACAAGAATTTGCTAAGATTTGTAATGAGAAAGTGTGACAGAAAAGAAGTTCACTCAGATTTGAGATCATTCCCAGAGAGCCTTACAGTCCACACATTTGAGTCCAGATGGCCCCCTCCTACTTCAGGGGCCTTTCTCTAACCAGCCTGGTAGACTTTATGGACAGGTTTTATTTACTCAGAATTTGAAATTCATCTCAAGTATGTTAAGAAGACTGTACTCTCTCAAGATCCAAGACTGATAGGTGAAGCCCTTTACCAACTGGCCAATCACTTTTGTCCCCTGCCATCATGGTTTCTCATGCAACCTCGCATCTGAAACTAAGAACATTATTTGAAATGTACAGGGAGACAGAGGAGGACCTGGGTTGCCTGGACTTAAAGGAGATCCTGGCATTGCTATTCGAGGACCAAAGGTATGCTTTATGCACGTTCTTTTATTTATTTATTTTTCTGTATGTGAGAGAGTGAAAGTAATTTAATGCATAGTAAACTGATGGCCAGGATGGTTCTATTTCCAGTATTTACATTGATGAGCTCAAATGTAAGAATACACGATTCCCTTAAAAAAAAACAAAGCCAACAGGTCATTTCTTTTTCTTTTCTTCTTTTTCAGTTACAGTATACATTCAGTATTATTTTATATTAGATTCAGTAGTCAGACAATCATATACTTTACAAAGTGCTCCCCCCAGTATTTTCGGTAACCACCTGGCACCTACACAGATATTACAATATTATTGACTATATTCCCTATACTGTACCTTACATCTCGATGACTATCTTTAACTACACTGGGTTTCTAGAAGTTCCTAGAAGCTGCTGAACTCGTCCCTGCTTCAGCGTCCTTGCAAATGCCGACATTTCTGCTTAGAATTCTATGATCATCAGTATGTGCATAACCTACATCTCGTCTTTTGGGTCTGAGCTCTATCAACACCACTTCCAAAGGCATTTCTACCCTTCTGACGTCGGCCACTTTGATTGCTCTTCAACTAACCATTCGTTTCCTTCATAAGACACCATTATTCATAACAATTATGTTCGTTAGTATGTGTCCTTGTTGTTGTTACTCTATCTTGTAGATAAGTGAGAAACAGCAAAGATTTTTAAGAGATATAAAATAACTTATTCAATTAAACTCTAAGTACATGCCAGGTACTGTGGGAAATGAGACAGAGAAATCATTTATTTTTCATAAATGGTGGAACTTTCGCTGACTAAACAGTTGTTTGAAGACGCTCATTTTGTAATATCAGCGATGTGAGATTATATGGCCGCTAGCCCTTTACATTTACATATTAATGGCCAATGTGTCTCTTCTGCAAAACATTACCACAAAAAAGTTCATGTTTGGAAGCTTTATTGAATCAAATTTCTGCGTTTTGTTATCCATCTTTCAGAGTTATTTTCCATTAAAATGCAAAGAACTATAGGAAGAGACAGCTTTAAGCAGTCGTTTCTGTTTCTCTATGGCAAGGAAGCGCCATTTCCCTCCCACCACAGCCAGCACTGCAGCCGTCGGCACCATTCCCAAGGTCAAGGCAGCGCGTCCTTGTGCAGAGAACAGGCTTCCGGGCTCCATCCACAGTCAGCACTTAGTGAATTAGTGGCACGTTGTTACACAGCTTTGAAGCTGCCTGCAGTTCTATCAAATCGTCTCTTCTAGGGAAAAGGGTTTATGCACTGACATTGGTGATTTTCAAATGTCAAAAAAGACAAAACTTAAAACTGTCTTTGTAATATAATGCAAAACGTATTATTTACTGATATACACAGTAGGGATTCTTTTTGAAAGTCAAAGGAAAATCCTGACCCTCAGTGATCTTAATCACTTTGTTGTCCTTGTTGGAGTGACAATCTTCTTGTTTATTGGGGACAGAGGAGTTTCCAGGGACATTCAAGCTGAAACAGAGAAAGTCCTAGACAAACTTACCCCTCAGACTTTGAGGCACTTGGGAACCCAAGTTACTGAAAAGACTCTATGGGAATCCAAACTATGTACAACTCAAGAAGAAAATTTCAAATTTTCTAATCCTAAAACTATACATATAACCTTGATCAAGAACATTTGGGTGACTATTTTCATATTGTTTGATAACTTCTTGGATCTGTGTATTCCTAGGTTTATGATTTATAGTTACTTCTCTCTCCTTATATTATTGCTTAAAATAGAAATAAAATCTTATTAAACATGCAGCTAGGGCTTATAAGCCCTACCTGTTTTCTACTGATCATCACTGGGCATTATTGGTGACATATTTAAAGTTATTTGCCTCTTCACTCTTCTTTCTAATCTCTTGGCCTCTAAAGATTTTCTTTCTGTCATTCTTCCCTAATGCAATTTTTTTTATCCTCTCCCCAGGACATTTTCCCACTGTTTTTAGAGAGAGAGGAAGGGAGAGAGAGAAACATCTATGTAAGAGAAAGACCAAATGGCTGCTTCACTAGGTGCCCAGACCAGGGACTGAACCTGCAATCCAGGCACGTGCCCTGACTGGGAATCAAACCTGCAACCTTTTGGTTACAGGACAGTACTCCAACCAACTGAGCCACACCAGCCAGGGCTAATGAACTGGTTTTTATGCTTTTGGGTGATTAAATGCCTGATGGAAGTTTTAGCATATTCATTCAGTTTTTCTGTATCAGGGAATTCCTAGCACCCCCCTGAAGCCCATTTCAGAACATCAGATTAAGATTTCCGCCCTAATTTATGCTGAATGAGAAACACATTTTCTTGAATCCAGGGCAAAGAGACCAGGTAGCTAAATTCCATTGGAAATACGCTGTGAGGAGTCCAAAATAAAAATCTGAGAAAGAACACTTCCTTTATCCCCATCTCCCGGTATTCCCATTAACATTAGAAGCCACAAACTAACTATAATTTTTTCAGGAGAGAGGACAAATTTCTCTAGGGAAAAAATGTTTGTAAACTATTAATGTTTTGATGTTTTTCCCCCAGTGTGGGTGCCAGAAAATAAATGATGACAGCTGCTGATAATTTGTTATAGGCTTGGAACTTGTAACCAAGAGCTGTAATAGAATTTTTATTCCAATTTTCTTTCAACTTCACCAGGCAGCAGTTCCTGCTGCATTTTGTTGCTGGCCCGCTCCTCGTGTAAGCGTGCAGAGAAATGGATGTCTTATTATGGGACATATCCCATATGGACGTGTAAAGCTGTAGACTTAAATGTGTTTGGAATAGAACAAGAAATTGCTTCTGAGAAGTGACCAGTTTCCTGCAATTGGAGATATACCAAACCCCACCTCTCCAGACGGCCTTGCTTTGCTCTCCGTCATATAATTTTATGCAGTCATCTTGGATCTTTGTTGCTGATAGATAGTAAATTAAGTTTTTAATAAGTGACTGCTCTGTTCTGAAGATGATCAGAACACATATGGTAAATGTTCTTAAAAACGTTTATCACATAGAATTAGTCCCTTAGATTTAATAGGAAAAACCAGTTGTTGCACCCATGGTTTTCAAAATAAATTTAACTTTCTTATTATTTAAAGGTATACAGAGCTCCCCTGCTCCAATCAATCATTCTTTCATGGGAGTGAAACTGGGAACATTTTGGGGAGTTGGATTTTAAGAAACATTTTGGTTTGGAAGAATGGCAGTTTGACCTCAGTGTTTGCTTGTTATGAAAGTATCAAGAGTCCTGTGACTCTTTCCAATCTTGGAAAACAAAGGTCTGTCTATTAGTAGAGTTTCCTTATAATGTAAAACCCAAAAATACTTAAAAATATGAAGAGCTCTTTATCAAAATAATTGATGTGTATTGACAAGGACCATTGCAAGAGTTATCAGTAGCAGAATGGAATGTGGTATAAAAGGACTATTACAAGTTTTAAATACAAGTGCAATCAACTTACGTTGAACAAATCTAGAAATCTTCTTTGTTTTTCTTTCTCTCTCTCACCATTTTACTTTGGCCAAAATTTCTTTAATTTCCATCTGTAGAGACTTACACATCTCAAAAGGCTATTGTTCAAAAGGCAATAATTACCCTCCTCTCTCCTCTGTGTAGGAGGTCAATAGTTATTACTAAAAGTTTTTGATGCCTAAGGTTATCACTCTAAAGCAATATTTATAACCTTTTCCCAGGTCTCAAGGTATAAACCAAAAACTCTGTGTCTTCTCTCCTTTTAACTTTTTAAAAAATTATTTTCAAAATTTTATTTGTGATTATTAAGTCCCCAAGTCACTTGGGCCCCAGTGAGGAAGACAAGAGATGTAACATGATAATAGGCAACACACAGTTTACCTTACCTTACAATTTTGCTATGCATGGGGGGGTTCCCCCAAACCTGGAATTTATTTATAAAAAATTGTGTATTTATTCTTTCATTTAAAATAAATGAAAAGTTTATTAAAATTTTATTAAAAGTTTTATTAAAAGTTTATTAAGAGTTTTATTAAGTTTATTAAAATAAATTAAAAAGTTCAAACTTCAGTTGCCATCAAAGTACTATTCATTTGATGTAATGCACCTATCAAGATGTTTTTTCTACTACTCAGAACAGTTTTTGAACTCATTGACTTTGATGCCTTTTTGCACTTTTGTCATTTTTTGTTTCACCTCTGCCACATCGGCAAAACACTTCTCTTTGAGGACTCTTTCATTGGAAAAACAAAAATAGTTGCTTGGGTGAGAGCAGATGAATAGGGAGGGTTGGGTACCAGGGTCGTGCTCTGGGGTACCGGGGTCATACTGGGCAGGAGTGCCCATAAATCACCCATTATGAATGGACAAATGCATTGAGTCTTCCAAAAAAATAATTCACTGAAGCCAAACGCAGCCTCTCACAGCAATGCCAGCTGGCACACTGATACAAATGGGCTCCCAGAACACTCACCTAGCAGGGGAATCCTGGACTAACAGGGAACTGCCCTCCAGAAGATAATTCCATTTTTGGGGGGGCAGTCCGCCTGCATATTCTTTTCTACTCTTTTTCTCATGTGGTGCTTATTAAATTTTCTCATTTTTATACTTTTCCTTGATCTATGTTGCAATAAAAATCTGTCATTTTTAAAATTAAAATATCAGCAACCAGACATCTTCTAATCCCTATAAAGTGTGTGTCCTGTGGAGCACTTGGCAATGGTTCACATACGTGCCCTACGTGCATTCCACACACATGAGTAAGACTTAGGAAGAGGTAACAAGTTACCACAATGGCAGGGTTTTCTTCTAAAATTTTTTCATTCATTCCTTTGTACTTACCAAACCCACCTTTGGCATATTGAGTTGGTACTGTGCTTAAGTTTTGCCAGGTGTTTCATAGAATAGTCTTATGACATCTCCTGGTGTTGGAATTTACCCAGGGTGCCCAAGGCCCTCAAGGACCAGTGGGTGCTCCAGGACTCAAAGGCGATGGCTATCCTGGTGTGGCTGTAAGTTTGGATATTGTTTTTAAATTTATTTTTATTGTATTTTTCCATTACCATTTAACCCCCTTATTACTGTCCCCCACAATCACCTGTTGTCCATGTCCATGAGGCCTTTTTCCTTTTCGCTCGATCCTTCCATTCCCTAACCACACCCCACCAAGAGCTGTATTTCTTCCCCTCTTACTGCACTCCCTTCATTTTTCCTTCCTCCCTCCCCTCTCCTCCTCTTTCTTCCCTTCTTTTGCCTTTTATTTCTTTCTTTTTCTCTCTCCCCTTCCTTCCTTCCTTCCTTCCTTCCTTCCTTCCTTCCTTCCTTCCTTCCTTCCTTCCTTCCTTCCTTCCTTCCTCCCTCCCTCCCTCTCTTCCTTCCTTCCTTCCTTCCTCCCTCCCTCCCTCCCTCCCTCCCTCCCTCCCTCCCTCCCTCCCTCCCTTCCTTCCTTCCTTCCTTCCTTCCTTCCTTCCTTCCTTCCTTCCTTCCTTCCTTCCTTCCTTCCTTCTCCATGGACACTGCAAACCACACGGTTGCTGACTCGATCCCTTATTATGTCATCTAGGGACCTCGAGGATTACCAGGACCCCCTGGACCGATGGGCTTACGTGGAGTGGGGGACACCGGACCAAAGGTAAGATTTTAAAGTAGGTAACATAATAGCTTCTAAAAATGTACCTATAGGTAGGTGATTTTGGTCATTTTTATCAGGCATTATAGAAGAGCAGATATAGCTAAAGAATTGATAAAGTTGTTTATCCTCATCTATGGACTTCCTGGCGACCTCGCACTAATTTGAACACATAGCTTACTTTTATGGTTTTTCTCTTGCTTTCCTCGTGGCGACTCTCACGTCCCTTGGCTGCTTTATCTTCCTGTATCAAGACCAGAGTCAAGTTCAGAGCCCTCCTCTCTTTCCTTGGTGCTCTTTTCCCGTCCCATGGCCTTGACCACTATCCGAGTGCTAATGGCGTCCAAATTTCTATCTTCCCTCTCACATGTTGTTTCTTCCACATAGGGCCTTCTAGATTCCTCACTGATGTCTCTAACCTAACATCCAAAATCGAACCTTTGATTTTCACCCCATAAGCCTGTAAGCAGCACTACCATGCACCACACACTCATGCCAGGAAATCCTTGGTCTCTTCTTTTCCCTCTCCTCCCTCCACACTGAGCCCTATGGTAAATCCTGTCAGTTCTACCTTCAAAATATATCTTGACTCTGTCTGGTTTTCTCCTGCTGCTTCCACCGGGGACATCTACCATCATGTCTTGCCTGGGCTATGAAAATACCCTCTTTCCTTGTCTTCCCTTGTGGGAGCGACTTCTTGGCAAGTCCCCCCGGTGCCACGGACATGAGTGAATGAATAATGACTGAGACATGATGAGATCTATTTGGGGGAGGAGGAGTAGGCTATGGCCAGTTTCTCAGGGAAGACAAAGGCCAGCAGCGGCCAGTTTCTCCAAGGAGAAAAAGGCCCCAAGTGCCCTCTTCCATAGCCTTTTATTGGGTTGTAATACACAGGAATACAGGGAGGCAAGGATAAAACAGTAGATAACATTACAAAGAAATCTGAGGGCTCCAGAATCTGAGTCAGTATCTGTCAGGAAGAGAGTTGCAGAAACTTTGGGAGACATGCTCATTTCCTGCTTGAACTCTTAACATATAAATGAAAGCACTCTTAGCAAAGCAGATTTCACAGGTTTATCAGCAAGTCTTTGTGGTGCCAGATTTTTCCCCAAGACATGCTCTAGCAAGGCAAGGAGCTGCCCCTCTTCCCAACAGGTATTCAGGCTTAAGGAGATTAGAGCCAGGAAGTGCTTCTCCCAGAGAACATGGGGACTCGGGCTATGTCAAAACTGAGGGGGCGCGAGTCCATTGCTCTTTGTCACAGCCCCTCCAAGTCCTTCTATGAAGGCCTCCCAAGTGATCGAGTCTGGCTTAGGTTACCCCCCGCCGTGAGGGGTCTTACCCATCATTGACTTCCGGCCAAGCTTTGTGGGCAGGGAGAGGAACTGAGGCAGCATTTGCTACCAGAGACAGGCTTTGTCTCCTGTGGCTGGCATTCCAGAGGTCGTCTCTGGCCCTTAGCCACAAGGGGTAGAGATACAATTCCTAAAACCAGGCAGAGTGGTCTACAATATTCCCTCTTCTACCTCTGCCCTTCCATATTACCTAGTAGGCAGAGGGGTCTTTTATAACCACAAGTCAGATAATATCTCTTTCCTTTTCAAAAAACATTCTGGTATCTTCTCTTTGTGCTGAGAACAAGTTTGAACCACACTCTATGCTTGTGAGGCCCTTCACAACCTGACTATGGCTCCCACCCCTTCCTCTCTGGCTGCTGCCCTCCCCCAACCCTCTCTGGGAAGCCACACTGGCCTGTACTGCACACTACTTTGGCTCATTCCTGCTTTCAGGCCTTGGTTCTGTGAGGATGGCTCACCTCCCTGACCACCCATGCAAAAGCAATCCTCCCTTTCTCCCTTCCCTCCCTCCTCCTCACTATCACATCCCTTTGTGTATTTTCTACTTGAGACCTTGCATCACTTTCTGAAGTCATCTTGCTCATTTCCTGCCTTGCATATTCCACAGGAGGAAATTTTCCAGAAGGCAGGCTCTTTGTCTTCTTCTCTGCTAAATTCCTGGCTCCAGAACTATGTGTGCCATCCTGTGGGAGCTTTGTAACATGTTGAATGAATGAAAAAGGAACGAGTGATCAATAGTACCCTAAAGAGAACATTTTTTCCTTAGAAATACACCCACTCAGTTTTTCAAATGGTTCCAGGTCACTAGAAGGAGATGTTGGAAGTCAATGTCAACTTTTTATCTTTTTTTAATTGGTCTGCCCCATCACTTAGGAGTATGATGACGCCTTGATGGTGCTTCTGTCTAGTGAATGGGGCAGGTGCTCTTCCGTCCTCTCCTGGTAGAGTGAAAGGTTGGGACCCAGGCATGGAATATCATCTCCAAGGGAGATCTCGATTCCTGCCTCATGTCCGTCTGTCAGGGAGACTGTGAGAGCCGGGGACAGGCTGTGTCTCAAGGTGCTGAGTGAACTGTGCAGAGGAGACACAGTCAAGGTGCTCTTATCAAGGTTCTGGCTTGGTCAGGCTAAGGACCAAATCCGACCCTCTCAAACACCCCAACATGTCAATAACCATACTGAACTTGGGCATCCTAGTATTCTTTATTCTCTAAGGCAAAATAGCTGTCCAATGCTAAAGTTTAACAGTAGAAAGAGAAATTCAATATGTAAATCTCATTATTTTCTGCTCTGAGTGGAACATTAGTAAAAACTTTTTACTAATAAAAAGGTTTTTACTAATAAAAAACTTTTTACTAATAAAAAGTTGTTACACTAAATGTTTCTTTAGAGAAATAGCTTATTTCTATTTAAAATAAGGCATGATATAAAATGTGTGAAATATATACTGTACCATAATTGTATTCCAATGGAACAGTATGGTCATTTACACTTTTGGAGATGATCATAAATATTCTATATAAGAATATGTTGTGTTAATTATACTATTATGCTACTGTCTTACAGGGGCAATAATAGTAATGACAGGACTTAGGCACAGATAGAGAACATTTACAAATTTGATTTTTGTAAACATTCACTATGTCATAGTGAATGGTTTAACAAATAGACTAAGTCACTTACTAAATGATTTTATATACTATTTCTCTCAAAGTCCCTTGTACTTGTTTTCATATACATTTTTTAGAGAGAGAGAAAGAAAGGAGAGAGAGAGAGAGAAAGGGAAGAAGATATCCATCAATTTGTTGTTCCACTTATTCATGCATTCATTGGTCGATTCTTGTATGTGCCCTGACAAGGAATTGAACCTGTAATCTTGGCGTATCAGGACAACATTCTCATCAACTGACCTACCTACCCAGTCAGGGCTTGTATACATTTTAAGGGGAAAGATCATGGGAAAAAAGTGTTCTTTCTAAATTTTGTCGTTTCTATTTTTTTGGGTAACTGTCAACATGTTGCCAAAAGCTGTATCTTAAGTGAAACGTATCACCCCTGTCGGCCCACATGGGAGGCTGAGTGGAAGCAGCAGCCTGGATGCTTGCCTCCCACTGACAGGAGAAGAGAACATGAGCTCTGACCCACCTCTGCTGGCCTACCTCCCTCTCTGCTGCAGCTTTCTGTAGGTGCTGGGAAAGCATGATGTCCTGGCTGTCACTAGCCCTGCAGGGAGATGTCAGGAGGGTGAATCAAAGATCCTGGATCATCAACTTAAAAGTCAAGGAAATTTTAAAAGCAAACATCAGCCTTTCATAGCTTAAAATAATCTATGCTCTTTTAAAGAAGCCTTAAAGTCTCTGTGTGGCCTTTTTTTCTTTTTCTAAAGAAAACTTGGACACACACTCAGAAACTGGTAAAGAAAGGAAAATGTCCATAGAAGTGGATGGGCAGAGCTACGGTGAAACTCCCACAGCACCTGAAGCTGTCAGTGCAGCAAAAGTGCAGGACTTCAGCGTGTGCAGAATTTCTTCTCCTTCCATTTTGACTTTTAAAATGGCAGAGAAATTACATGCGTAGTTGTATAGACATATAGATCTGATGTTTTTCACTTAAATCCAGTGTACTTACCTTAAAATATAGGCCTTAGGGCATTCATTTATAAAACAAATGTGTTTTGAAATGAGGAAACCATTAAGGTTGACGATGAATTTATGGTGGGCTTTTGTGATATTTAGTTAAGATCACATGTGTTTAGCACATGACACAGATATTTGAATCAAAGCTTCTGTGTTTCAAAGCACGTAAAAACCAGCCCCTGACATCTTGCACCCTTGTGGTGCTCTGTGGCTTTTTTCCAAGGGGAAGAATTTCCTATGACACCAGTGGCTAAATGGTACCTCTACATCCATTACCTTGAATTTAATCTAAATTTTGAGGAGGGCTTCTGAGAGATTTCTAAAGTTTTTGTAAAAACTACAATGTTCAAGGAAACAGTAGATAGAGTTTTTAAATCTACATTGGAGACATGCCCTGAAGAGGAGCAGGCACTTTGGTTTCTTGACAAACGAGAAGTGCCCCTCCAGTGCCCTGACCCTGGATTCAAGTGCCCTGCTCATTCATTCATAGGGAAGGCAGGTTCAAAGATCCCATCTAACACTGCCTACATTTCCTCAGCACACTTTGTGATTTGGGGACAATCATTACATAAAACTCATTTTCCTTTGAGAAGCTCAGATAACTCTTTGTTCCTGTATTTTTACCACCAAAGGCTCATGAGGGGGTGCATATTGCCCCAGGGCTGACTCACTGACATGGCTGAGGGTAAGAGTTTGTTCTTGGACTCTTAGGAGAGGAATCAATGCAAGAAGTGGCTCCCCTGAGCTCTATAAATGCAGGTGCATCCTCCATGTTCCTCTCTGAGCTCCTTCAGCCCCATTAGTATGCTGGTTCCTCACAGAGAAGGCCATGGCCTCCCCCAAAGCCTTGGAGCTGGTGAGCCCAAATTGTGCACAGAGAGCAAATGCGGCTTTCTGGGCCTTCAAGGGACCTCTTAACCATCAAGTGGGTGGAATAGTCTGTGGGCAGAAAAGGTTTACTGAGTTGTTGTTGTCACTATCTAAATATTTCCAGAATATTGTGACATTTT